GTAAGAAGCAATTTTGAAACAAACATTGTGTGCCTCTGATAGCACCTATGCTGCACTCCAGCACACAACGGATAACCTCAACATAACAAAAAAGAAACATCAGACAAACACAATACAAAGAAAGTTCTAGTTAAAAAAAGGGGGGGGGCTTGTATTCCTTGTCTTGTGGTGCCCCTCCATCTTCAAAGCCAGCAATCACAGTACTCCAACCTCTGCTTCTGTCCTCACATCTCCTTCTCTGTCTCTGAGGTTCCTGCCTCCCTCCTCAGAGGATGCTTGTAATTACACTGTGCCTGCCTGGCTGATCTGGGGTAATCTATGTCAAAATCCTTACTTAATCACACCTGCAATGTCTTCTTTGCTGTGTAAGGGGACATGTTCACAGGTTCTGGGAATTTGACATAGACATTCTGCCTCCCAGAGGACTATTTTTCAAAACTGTCATATCCTAGCACACGAAGATCAGAGAGTTAAGAGGCTGGAAAATATGACAAACTAAAGCGCTATCTGATCTTGGACTAGATCCTTTTCTGGAGGGGAGAAAGGCTATCAAGGATATTCACTGTTCTATTAACTGACAAAATTGGAACTTGGGTGGTTAGTTAGATGCAAATATCAATATAAAGTCATGAGGTCGGTCAATGTACTGAGGTTCTGTATGAGACGTTCCCTACTCTTAGGAAAGGCACACTGGAATACTCAGGAATTTTAAGGGCCATGATGTAAGCAACTTGCTCTCCAACGGTTCAGAAAAAAACATTATCTGTATGCACACACACAAAGGGAGAACAAGAGAAATGATGAAGAGAACGGGGTAAAATGTTAACAATAAGTGAACCTGAGAAAAGGGCATAAGGTATTCCTTGTGCTATTTTAATTTTTGCAATTTTTTTCTAAGTTTGAAGTTATTTCCAAGTAAAAAAGCTTTTAAAAAAATCATCTATCCAACCTGTCACTTAGTCCCAAACTTCTGAGTTTACAGGTTTGAAAGTCTCTAAGGATGGGAGACCTCAGTATCTCAGGAGGCAGTGGTATGACGGCCGGTCAGCTCAAGGAGTTTGAAAGTTCTCTACAAGATGAGCTCTAGGGGCGCCTGGGCGGGCTCGGTCGGTTAAGTGACCGGCTCTTGATCTCAGCTCAAGTCTTGATCTCAGGGTGGGGGCGTTCAAGCCCTGCATTGGGCTCCACGTTTAAAAAAAAAAAAAAAAGATGACCTCAATTTGTTGGTGACTTTCACCGATTGGTTGTAGCCCTGCCAACTGGTGTAGACAGAATAAGTCTTCTCCCTCTTCAGACTGGAGGCCAGCTGTCCTGCCGCCTTAGTAATGTGTTTTGCAGGCTTCAAGTTTCTCATCAGTGGATGCTTCTGGGAGCCAGTTTCTAAACCTCCTCACTGGGATGCATTTTCTTTTCTCGGAGTTGCTCTTCCAAGGCAGTACCTGTTAGAACGCGGCACTCCGGCGGGCCCCATCCACTCACTCTGATTTGTTCTTTCCTCCTCTTCCAACCACACTCCTCCTGGGTTACCACAACCTCTCTAGGGAAAAGCCCCGTTGATGATATACATTGATTTTCTGACTAAAGCAACGCACGTAAGTCGTGTTGGTGCAGCCCCAGTGGGACTCTGGGCGTCAGTGTTACCACAGTTACCTGGTAAAACAAAAGGAAGCCCTCACGTGAGCTTCTTCGCTGCTGACATGGAATCCGCCCACAGCCATTGACCTTCCACCTTTTCCTTCCATGCAGCCAGGGCAGAGGCTCTGCTTCCGGCTGTGGCTGAGAAACCGTGCAATTAGGAGAAGTGGGTTTAATTTTAGCGAGGGAGTTGGCTGCAGCGAATCCCTAGCTCCCAGGGACTTCGAGCCTCGGAGGCAGGACTACAACATCCTGCGGTGGAACTTTTGGAACTTCCCAAAAAAGGTGTTTGGGAGACGTGCCTGGGGTTACAGCTCACATCTGATGGCAACAGACAAACTCTGGAAGTGAGTTCTTAGGTTCTGGTGTTGCTTAGAAATCAGCGCAAGGGAACTTGGAAGTCGTCTTCCGCGGGGAATCCTTTAATGACTATAGGTAATTTCAGGATTGTTCGGGCTCACCTTTGCCACATTCTTGTGGGAAAGTCCATGATGAGGGTCACCTTTGGCGTGTTCTTTTGAAAGAAAGTCAATGCTAATTGCCCTCGAAGCATCATTTCCCCAGGTCATGTAAGAGAATCTCCTTTCCTAAGTGCATTAATCATCCTTTAGCAGGGACCCCACTCCTAGCAACGCCTCTAGCGGACGTTAGAAGTCCAACCTTTTAGTGTGAACTCACCAGCCATAAAAATGTCAGGTCACTAAACAGCTGTTGCTTTTCAGGGTGAAATATCTCATTCAAGGCAGTAGGAGAGCTCTATTTTCTGCAAAAGGCGTTTTAAGAGAATTCTTAATGACGAAGCTTTTATTATGGTGGAGGTTTGAGGGAAGAATGAGGGAGAGAAGAAGGCCAGGCTCTTCCTGTGAGCCTTCAGATGACAGTCAACTTGCAGAAACTATCTTAAACTGGAAATCCTAAAGGCTTATAATCTGAACTGCCTAAGTGTGAATTAGTTTACTAGGGATTTTCTGACCCCCCCACCCCCACTCCCCTGCTTTCTAAAGAGTCAAGGAATGGACAGCAAGATCCTTTGGGTGTAAGAGTTAATCAGGAGCTTTTAGAGACAGGGCTGAAGTCTCAAAGGGTAGTGGTCTGAATGCAAGTCCAAGGAAGTGTGAGAAGCCACCCTGTTGGGCTTTACACACAGCGTGATACACACGGATGTGAATGAACTAGGGAAGTCAAAAGGCACAATGAATCATCGAAAGGAGTTTAGCTAAGGGGAGTATGTAAAAGGGAGTAAGGCAACTTGACTTGGTTTGGTAGGGAAGTGTCTTGGCCATCCACACACGGGCCTTTCTCTTTTTAAGCAGCTGGTGGAGACACTTCCTGCTCTCCTCTGTGCCCGTCTTCCTGAGCTGCTGCTCAGCATTACAATCACTTCCTCTCTGGACACCCCTTCCCATCCCAGGAGAGTCAGGGCAGTTCCTCTACACTGGAGGCGGGGGTAGGAGAATGGGGTGAGGACACTAACAAGAGATGCTCACCATCCCATGGCGGGGGACTGCAGGTTCCTTTACCATAGCAATGTCCCCACATGACCATAACGGGTATAAATGAAATGGGAGATGGTACCGAAGATCAATATAGAACTGTTTCTTCCTCCTTCCAGTAGAAGAAACTGTAGGCATAGAAGCATAAAAACAAATACTTTATGTAAATGACATGGGAAAATTATACATGGGGACCTCTCTTTTTCCCGTGCGGGAAGAAAACTATATCAAGGTTTGATAAAAATAAGGATCTCCTTTGTCAAAAATCCTTAGTGTGCAATCCTATGTTCATGTTATTTGTTTGACACCATGGAAACATAGCTGATTGCAGTAGACAAAAGTATGTCAGGGAAAAGACCAAAGGTTAGATCGAGGTTTTCCCCGCAAGACCAGTGAAAAATAATTGATTCGTCTTTGCTATGGAAAACATGAAAATTCTTATAAACAGGAAACTCCTTCCTCCAGGGGTTCCAAACTTTCTCCAAGATAAAGAACTATAGATTTTAAGCCATCTCTTAATGGTAGACTCACCAGGTTTTTAGATTTCAGGAGAGTTTGTATTAACAGGGGCACAAGGATAGAGAGACAAACCAATATATACACCACTTTGAAAAAATGGGCACCTAGCCCAACATAGTGATGTTCTATAAATGACTTGGATGCAAAAAGCCCTAGAACCCTGACTTTAGATCTACACACAGTCCAGTGGTTCTTGAAGCTACCTAGTGATCTGGAACCGAATGGTATCAAGTAGCTGTTAAAGCTTGGGAGTTCTTATTTTAGGTTTACTACTTGGTAGGAAACAGCTGATGTTATTTAAAAAGAAAACCAAAAACTACTCAGAAAACTCAGAACTTGATCTTTTGAATAACTGCGTCTAAACTAGTTTTTATAAAGATTATCCTTTTGCTTCACATAAACCCATGTTAGGTTACAGAAAAGGAGCAAAGTCCTGGAGGGTTCAAGCAGCTTAGTCCCTTTAACAGAAGCACATTTTCCCCCAGCAATGATTTTTTTAGGGGAAATTGAAGACGTAAAAGGAAATGTAATGATCTGAAAGTTTCATATTTTTCTCTACTTCTATCAATACTCCATGAGCAACTGAGGGTCTAGGTGGGTTTGTACACAACTCCACACCCAAATGTACAAATTGGTAATTGTACAGTTTATGGGATGGAATAAAAAAACTGTCTACCATGCAGAAAGCTCTCTCCCATCTGAATGCCCTGCGTAAGAGAAAAGTAGTCGTCTTTGGATACCATGCTGTACCCACGGACTAGATGAAATATAAGACAGTTGGCAATTTTAAGACCATCATGACTCCATTCCAAAGATCAGAAGTGCTTAGGTCCTCTATCAACCACCAGGACAATTTGTTTTCAGCTTGACTTCAAATTGGGTTGAGGATGGCCAGGCAGCCAAAGCAACGTGGGGCCAAGAAAAAGCCCCAATTTTCAGAGGATATAATACACATCCCTTGTTCTGTTACAGGTGATACTTCTCATCTTGACCTATATCATAAATTAATTTTAAAAAACGAAATGCTTCAAAATGAAAACAATTTTGATTCTCGAGACCATTCTTTTCTGTATCACCAGTTGAATAATTTCACCAGTAGCCATGCTGAGAAACTGTAACTCTATGGAGTCATACAAAGAGGTTATAGAAAAGTGACAGAAAGAGGTAGCATATATTAGTCTGTGAACATACTGAATGCTACCAGAGCAAAAAACTGTACAATTCTAGGTCTAGTATGTACAAGCTAAAAAATATGTACATGTTCTTGACTTAGCAAACAATTGTCAATATTTAATAGTGCAAAGTAGAAAGAAGTCTGATAATGCTGTTTTAATAACTCACAGAGCATATACATACACCCAATGAATTCGTCTCTTTATTGCATATTGCTTTTTTAAAAAAAAGTACAATCTCATAGCACATACAACATTTTTTTTCTTGGTACTATAACAACAGTCTTGCACCTAAAGACTAAGAGGTTCCAACTACTAAGCTAATAAGATACAAGACATATAATTAAGTTTACAAATTATAATGCTTTCTTTTTGGCATTAATTTAAAAAAACAAACAAAAAACTTTAAAATACACACCCAAGAGAGAAAAGTGGCTACTTACACCAGCACCAATCTAAAAAGTAGATTTTTTTTCAACAATGGCACATGGAATTACCTGCACAAAGCTTTTGGGGAAAGAAACCAAAAATGGAAATGGTAAGGCCTACCAGGATGGCCGTATCAAAATGAGGATGATTACAAAGGGCAAGAGGGACACACTACATGGGCTTGCTCCTTTATGTGACACTCCATCCACTTGTCCATTCCTTAAACTGTAAAACAAAGCCATTTTCAAAATACAGTTCCAAAATTGAGCCAGACCAAATTTCTCTTGCTATAAATAGAAAAGAAGATAGAGGCACTTTTGTTAAGGAATAGACACATCCACCAGCATCTCCCATTCCTAATCTTCAAGGCTTTTGGAGCAAAGTCTCTGTCTGCACCTTTAACCCGGTGGATTTGCAGACCCTGGTTACTAGGGGCTGGGGAGCACAACCTCTGCTGTGAGTTTATGACTGCCTTATTAGCTAGAGTTATTTACTTCCATAAAATGGGTAGAAAGTCTCTAAGTTTGCAATGAGGGGGAAAAAACGTAAAACCACTGCTCTTGACAACTCTTAGAGCACTATTTCACAGCTTTCACATAGTGCAGAGACCTTGCCATCTGCACTAAGCATTATAGTTTATACAGATCATTTTTAAATAGCATGATTCCTGTACAGCGCATATTGGTATTCTATTCACCCCTTTATCCCCATTAGAACATAAGCTCCTTTGGGGCAGGGACTTTGTCTTGCTTATTACTGTAGCCCTACTAAGCCTGGCACATAGTAGGTGTTTAATAAATATTTGTTAGTTGACTGAAAAACTCAATTTAGTGAGTAAATAATGTTCTAGTGCAACAGGACAAACTACTCTCTCCACAGGAAACCCAACCACAACAGGATTGATAGAAAGAAAAGAGAAAATCTTAGCCCCCCTCCCCCACTACAAATAAATAAAGCAAAGCCAAAAAAAAAAAAGTAACAGTCCTCTTTATATATAATTTAAGGATATTAAGAGTTGGTAGGTTAATGGTAAGCATCTATATTTTATTTTCTAATGTTCATTGTTTTTATTCATTTCTCCCTGAGAGCTTTATCTTTTGGACTGAAATTTTACAGGTAGCTTTATTGACACACAATTTAAAATGACAATATATAAACAACAAACCACTTCAAACATACTTAGAGATAAATAGATCTTGGCATCTCCGTTGGTGTTGTTGACATTCTGTGCATTCACTAAGTGTCCTTTAGTCCAGACCCATATAGACAGAAGATGCAGCTTGTCCTACAAAATAGGGAAAAAAAAAAAAAAGAAAGAAAGAAAAGAAAAAAAAGGCACCCCATAAAAAATTTTAAATAATTTTTATCCCTTCAGAGAATCCCTCCTTTTAGGTCTTGGGTGGGAAATTTTTATTTTTAAAGTTTATATATCTCTATTGTTGTAACAACAAGCACATTCTGGCAACCTTGTTCTTTAACAAGAGCATGAATTGCATTTAGATAAACAGTGTTCTTTTCAAAAGCAATGTAAAGAAATCTTCAAGAGCGCTTGGCAGAGAACTCGATGAAATTAGGGGAAAAAAATTGATGCGCAAGTTTTAAATATATAAAAAAAAGTCTGATTGACATTCTACATAATTCAGATTGTGTGCAAGATGTTCTCAATAAACACTTACAGACTGCACCCCCACACCAATGTCAGAAATTCTAAGCTGGTCCTATCAGTCACTGATGGCCTACACCAGTGTCACATCGTCAACTATCAAAAACCATTTTAAATCTATATTTTTCCAACACCAGTTTCACCAGTGAAAATAATTTCAAAGTATACCAAGCTTGGAAACCATAAAATATTTCTCAAGCCTTTTTTTTTTTTTTTTTTTTGCTTTTGCTTTTCCTTTTTACTCTAGGGAATGTCTCTGTCATCTCTTTCAGGAGATAGCATTGTGCTTCTGAATAGCCGTGGTGTTCAGGGGAAGAAAATGAGCCATACTCATTACGAATGCATACACAAAGGGTTTCTGAGCACATACATTAACATAGATTTTTTTTTTTTAACCATACATATAGGTCTCCAGACAACACTCAGACTTCTATATACATTTTTTTAATATATATATACACATACATTTACATACACATACATTCACGCATTCACTCACAGATGAAGGAAGAAATTGCCACTGTTTGGATTGCAAGGCAGTGTAATGAAAAGTTCTAGTCACTTCAAGGGGCTGCTAACGAGCGTTCTAAAAAAGTATCCAAGGAATATTAGAAGTTAAGTTTTGTGACTGGTCTCTCTCGGCTGCTGTCCGTCATCTGGTTGGTAATACGCTTGCGATTCCGTTTCAGTTTAGAAAGGTCTTTGTCAAATACTTCTCCTGAGCGTAGAGCTGAAACCAGGTCATCGAACTCTCCGCCCTCTTCACTATTCTCTTTTGCTTTCCTCATTTTACGTTCCCTTTCACGTTGTTCTTTGAGCTGCAAATAGAAAGCAACCTCTTACAGAAGTGTCAAAGCGTTGTTTTGTTTTCAGTGGAGATGAAGCCCTTGAAGCATGGCCATACTCCAGTCACATCAACCCATGGGCATCCAATAGCTGCTAAGCCCTCGGACCTCATGAGAGAGGGGGGACTGGGACTTGAGGTCTTATTGTAGAAGCAAGGAATAATGAAGAAAGATGACCACTACTTTGCTATTAGACACTCACCATCTAGAATCTAGGTAAACCTCATGATATTCTAGTTAAAACAAGAGCAACGAGGCAATTCCTGTTGCTACAATGGAACCAGGAAGTTATCACTGAACAGACCCCAGATACTGGTTTCTTTGATGGTATAGACAGACTAAAGCAAACACTCATCGGGCCACTCTCCTCACATCAAAGGCTCAGCTTGTATCTCCTGTGGATGCCTGGAGCCTGCTACACATGAGTTTATGAAAAACCAAATTATACATGTACCTTATAGAAAATTTAGATAATTCATATAAACAAAAGTGAGAAAATCATCCTTAATCCTACTGTTAAGAGATAACCATTGTGAACTTGCTGGGGGTGTACCCCACCACTATCATTTTCCTTATTAACCCTTACCTTACCAAAAAAAAAAAGATTTTGCATAGAAATAATTTTGTTAGCTTTCTTTTATCATTAAATATTCTTTGAAAACATGACTTTAAAGGACTGCATAAATATTCCATTATGTAGCTATTGTACCATTTGAAGCTAATGGTACATGTTGGTAAATGTTTAGGTTGTTTCCATGTGAGGGCTATTATAAAGGCCACTGTTCTCTTTGGGCAAACTTATGATTATTTCTTTTTTTTTTTTTAAAGATTTTATTTATTTATTTGAGAGAGAGAGAATGAGAGATAGAGAGCATGAGAGGGAAGAGGGTCAGAGGGAGAAGCAGACTCCCTGCTGAGCAGGGAGCCCGATGCTGGACTCGATCCTGGGACTCCGGGACCATGACCTGAGCTGAAGGCAGTCACTTAACCAACTGAGCCACCCAGGCGCCCTTAACTTATGATTATTTCTTTAGAATAATTTCTAAGAAATGAAACTCCAGGTCAGAGGATGTAGACATACATTTTTTCAGGCTCTGGATATACTGCCAGATTGCCCAAGAGAAACTTAACACTGATTTAAACTCCGAGCAGCATTCTAGAGAGCACTTGATGCCCTCCTTCCTGCAGGCGCATCACAACCCCCTCTGCACACCAAGGAGCTGCAGCACGGGCACACGGTACTTCCAGGAGGTGGGAACGGCGATGCCCTCCTTCTCTTACCTGGGCTTCCATGCGAGCACGGCGTTCCTCCTCCTCCTTCTTCTTTCTCATGTTTTCGTTCTCTTGTTTGGCTTCTGCCACAGCTTGAAGAAACTGATCAAAAATGCCGAAGAACTCATCCGGCTGGATTTTGCTAGCCTCTTCCCCAAAGTGTTTCACTGCTTTAGTAAACTGGGGGAAAAAAGTGAGTTTTAAGAAGTTCAGGGTTCCAAGGGAATTCTGGGATCAAACAGAAATCTCTCTAGAAGTAGTGAAGCTCAAAAAGAGTCAAATATAACTTGCTGGATTTTAGTGAGCCCGTATTTATCTTTGGCTGCTGAACAGGCCCATCAATCACCGCTAAAGTAAAAAATTTAATACTCCTCGACTTTTGAAACCATTTATTCTTTTCCACCTCATTTCAGCTTAACACCAATGATGACCTACTCTGACTTTTTATTAACTAAACAGTAGTAAAAACAAGAAAGCAAAATATCATAGGGCAGAGCACTCAAGACATAAAACTAATGGCAAACTCGGCAGGGGTAGGGAAACTTGGACTTTTAACTTTTCTTTGAAGTAGTTTAATATCATTTATTGGTGCCATATGGTTAATATCAAAAGCAAATGGGATCCAGTGCTTCTTAGCTGCTTTTCCTAATCCTAAGTAATGCTAGTATTGTGATATTTCCTGGGCCTCAGCTAGAAAACAGTCACGGACTATGGAATCATTAATGCAACCCTGGATTTATGACTGAGAAGACAATTTTATTCCAAATCCTTTGTTAATAGAGAACCCCTCTCAGTGCAAATCCTCTCAAAACAGCTAAAATGCAAAATATTAAGGGAGAATTTAAAAAAATTAATACCAATATATGTATACAGTTATTTGTAACAGAACAGTTATTTCCAGTCTCCTCGGTTTTTCTTTTTTCCTTTGGATTGGTGAATGTGTCAGTTTATTTAATATGTTAATTCAGAATAGTTATTTCCAGGCTCTTCATTTTTTCTTTTTTCCTTTGGATTGGTGAATGTGTCAGTTTATTTAATATATTAATTCTTTAAACTGAAGTATAATTAACATACAGTGTTATATTAGTTTCAGGTATACAACACAATGAATCAACAATTCTATACACTATGCAGGGCTCACCAGGAAAAGTATAGTCCGTCATCGAATGTTATTACACTATTCCTGACTATATTCCCTATACTGTACTCTTCTAGTCTTAGTTCTCCTGGTGGTTTTCTTCATAACTCAAGATCACATGCTCTTAGGAGGCTTAGCAGTATCATGACTAACCAAATAATGTTCAATGCCAGTCATAATGTTTGTTAGAATTTTTCTTCCCTCTGTAAGGATCTAATGCTGTTACTCCTAAGCTGCTAAGGAAGGTGTTTCCAGCTTCAGAGTCAAATGAATTCTCATTCCCTATGCCTAATCAACTACTTAACATTTTCCAGATCTTTAATTCTCTTCATTTAGACTATGAAGTGTTTGTGCGGTGCCCCCAACCCAAGATTTCTTAATTGCTTTTATTTTTCTTGCATTACTTGCCTTTATATTTTTTTCTGATATTTCAGTAATACTATCTCTCTCTAGTAAATGTTTTCAGTATTTATTCTCTTTTATTTTACTGCCTAGTTTTCCTGAAATATAATGGACATATAGCACTGTATAAAATTAAGGTGTACAGCATAATGTCTTGACTTCAATATATTGTGAAATGATTACCACAGTAAGTTTAGTTAACATCCATCACCCCATACAGATACACACGAAGGGTCTACTCTCCTAATAACTTTCAAACATAGCATGCAGCAGTGTTAACTACAATCATCACGTTGTACATTACAACCCCTATACTTAACTATCTTATAACTGGAAGTTTGTACTTTTTGACTACCTTCCTCCAATTCCCCCTCAATATTTATTCTGAGATAAAACAATCACAAAGTTATATGTGTGTGCGTATGACATCTTATAGTTGTCATGTCATATCTTTAAATTTATAATAAAAATGTTCTTTTGCCGTTTCTCTCTTCACTGAGGAGTTGTTCTCAATGTTTTACTTATTTGGAAATATTCTATTGGAAACCAGAGTTCTTTAGGGACAAATACATTGTTCACATGCCACATGCAAAGCTCTAGCTTGCCTTCATGGCTTTATGAGCTAATTTCTAAAAGTTCTGGTATGAACAAAACGGCATTAGACGGCCTACAACTGAGTCTCTAAAACATTCAAGTTCATGCACTCCAAGCCATCCTGAATGATCTTTTTATCTAGGAATTCTAGTGATGATGAAGTCATGTATATTTTAGTTTTAGAAATCTGAAGAAAACTAGTCCCAGACTAAAAGTTCCCACACTAAAATTAAAAAAAAAAAAAAAAAAAAAAAAGTAGGTTGTGCGTAAGCATGTGTTTTTACATCAAAAATTAACTGTAGGGTGGATTCTTATAAAAATGTTTGAGCCCTCAAGGCAGTAGATTCTATACTGCCTGGTTGGGGAGGGGGTGGGGCGTCCCCTCCTTTACAGATCTGTATCATCCAAAGTGGTGAGGCATACCTAAGACATGGGTGGGGGATGGGGGCTATGGCAGTGGACGTTGCTGACATCAATCATGGGACAGTAGAAGCTGGACTTTTAACAGCAGTCCTCTGACCATACATTGTCTTTCCATTTATTTAATCATGTTGGAGGCGGGGTTTATGGTTGAGACTACCTAATGTATCCTAATACAGTCTTCTTCTGAACTGTAAGCAGTTGTGTATGTACACTATACATAAACAATCATCCATATCTATTACTAAACGGATGATTACAGGGAAATGACATCCACTACTCAAGTTTTAAAGGAAACTTAAAGCTAAAGACTGTTGTGGCAACTGAGAGATGAGCATTGTGGAAGAGCTCGACAGGATGGGGTAGGGGCTTAAGATCACTTATTAACGAGAAAGTGGGGTGAGAGAAAATGAGCGAATGTGTACATGCACATGTATATAAATGTGTATGTATTTTGGAAGAAGAAATGGTGGGAAGGAGGAGGAGCTAAGGTCCTGGTTATTGCCAAAGAAAACTTTTCCTTTAGAGGAAAACAAAATTTTGAAATAGCAAAAATCATATAAAGTGCTGTATTATTAAAACATATGCCTCTTGTCATGAGGTTGTGAATTAAAGTGTATCTCCTACCATGAGAGACGATGGACTCTGAGAAACAAACTGAGGGTTCTAGAGGGGAGGCGGGTGGGGGGATGGGTTAGCCTGGTGATGGGTATTAAAGAGGGCACGTTCTGCATGGAGCACTGGGTGTTATACGCAATGAATCATGGAACACTACATCAAAAACTAATGATGTAATGTATGGTGATTAACATAACATTAAAAAAAAAGTGTATCTCCTTTAATAAGTTCTGCTGGAGATTTTAAGAGGGAATCCCCTGCCCTAAGTCTCTATCTCCGGAGAGCATATAACTTACAGGTACTGGGACACGTGGCCTTGGTCACACCTATCTCACATTTTATCCTGCCTCTGGTCTTCGTAATCTACTCTTTTCTGGTTCCCAGAGGTAACTTTAATCCAAATCAACCATGAGAAAATTGCAAAATCTTTACTGGTATTACACCATCCAGATACTCTGAGGTCTTGCTAACCTAAAGGCGACACAAGCCAGTCAGACAAAAAGGGTGTATTTCAATTGATCACAGCCCTGGATATGAAAATGTTGAACATCTGCAGGTATCAGCCCTGTTAAACAACACTCAGTATGCAAGGGGAAACTTACCAGGTCTTTAGCTTCTGCTAGAAGGTCCTCCACATCAGAGAAGCTGAAGCTGGCCACTGTGATGAACTGGCTGACAACAGACACAAACTTGTCTCCGGGTTGTGGGGGCTGAGACTTTTGATACTCCAGCTCCTTGAACACAGGAAGCGGATAATGTCAAGGAAGCCTTCAAATGCGGACTCACCTTGTCTGATTTTCCATATACCTCGAATTTAATAAGTCAGAATGGCGAACACATCAAAATGTACTCTAAAACACTTTGTGATACCCTAGGTCCCCCAGCCCTTCTGTCTACCACGCCAGAGCCATGCCCACGTGCACTCCCACATATTTGCAAACAGCAATTTAGCCAATCATCTGAGTACTTTAACAGTGTGATTTCTTATACTAGCTTTAGGACGTAAGTAGATTAGCATTTAGATAATTAATAAAAGTTAAATAAGGAGAGCAAACTGGATTCCAAAGGTATGTGACTGAAAGCAAGGTAGTTTGATTGTTGATATTCTGTGCTCAGAATTCTGGTAATTCTGATTCCTTGATTTTTCCTTCTTTCCCTCCGGCCAAGTCTGCTGACTTTCTCCATGTGGATATCTGGGTCAGTGGAACTTCAACTGTAGTGTTTGGCACCATAATCATCTACCATTTTTCTTCTTGTCTATACTATTTTGTTTTTGTGAACAGACAGGTAGAAGTATTAGTGTCTTATTAATTACCCATATTCTCCATTACCAGGGTGATGAACACACAGATGATTCAAATCTAATTTTAGTAATTAATTTCAACCACTGCCAGATGCACTTTCTTAATCCCACCCTCTATGAGTGAGGGATTATTGTCCTCATTGTACAGACACATAAACTGAGGTTTAGAGGGATTAAATTCTTGGCTCAAAGCCTAAGCTTAGCTCAAAGCTGATAGGTGAAAGAGCCAGAATTTGAACTCAGGTCTGTCTGACTCCACAGTCTCAGCAACAGCTACGCTGGGCACCAACTGACTTAACCTGCACCTATTTTCTTCCCTAACTGCCTTGGCAGAGGCACTAACAAGCAGGCATGGAGAGGTCACAGGCTATGGGTTCTGATTCAGCTCCACCACTGATTTGGTTCTTATCCGTGACAAGTGGCCTGGGCCTCAGTTTCCTCACTTGTAAAAAGGCAGGCAATATCCACATCACCACGAGAGTCGAAGAAATAACACAAGTGGAAGGTTATAAAATATGGAACTTGCTCTGGTTGGAATAAATTGCCACAATTCTAGCGCTTTGGCCTTGAAAGTGAGCATGTATCTATGTGAGGCACAGAGATATAAAATTTTAAAGTGTTTCATTCATGTATAATTTCATTTCATTCAAATTAAGAATTCCATCTTTGGTATCTTCAAACAATATAATCCATTTGTGTCAAGCACAATTAGGATTCATGAATATTTAGACAGGCCAAGGTCTGCCTCCCATTATTTCCTTTGGGTGCTACATCTTGACATGTATGCTCAGGGGGAGGGAAGGTTTCTGTAGTCCCTTTCCTATGAAAAGTGTGTTACAGTGTACATGACCCAGGTGCTGGAGAGATTTCAGCACAACTACTTTTAAAAGACCCCAAACCCAAAACTTCCTACCCACCAGGACCCCTCCCCACGCCTTGCTCTGAACTAGCTTAGATGCAAAGGTCAGAGCATCCATGACCAGGCTTTAGGGCTGTCATAACTGCCACACTAGTCTCAAGAAAATCTTCCACTGGGAGGAAACGGGAACCAAGAGAAGGCTATAAAACAAGTCTCATCCCAAACTGCCCTTAACCACTTGGGCCTCTGAAATCTGAGAGGCACCATCCTACTTGCTGCTCACTCAGTGTCTTGGCCTACTGGGATTGGCAGAAAAAGATTTCATTCAGTTCATCTCCTTTACTTTTGAAAGAGCATTCCTGACCCCCAAAAAAGGGGGAAGGGGAAAGCCTTACACGCTCCCTAATTTATTAAAAACAAACAAAAAAATATTAGACATTGTGACTTTAACTTTTATTATAGAGTTCTGTCTTTAATGACGTCAAGCGCTTTCTATGGCATAGTTTTACTATTAAAAAAAGAAAAGGAGGGTCCTCATGGCATTGCTGACAAATGATCTGAAAGATACTTAAGAGAAGGGCACCCTTCCAAGCTGCCTGCAGAGCAGTGTCCTTTGTTTTGTGCTAGGCCAGAGCTAGGACCACTCTCCTGAGGAGGTTCCTTGTCCTGACCCGCCTCTTGGCTCAAGGCAGCACTGGGCGGTACCCACGTGGCTCGGGGGCCGGGGCCATGTGTAAGCCCACTGACTCCTCTGCCTCCAGCGGCGTGGCCTGCTCTCCTTCCACAGAGGCCTGGCCCAGGGACAACCTCGCTCCTGTGTACCTGAGTTCACCCCACCCTCCTCCTAAGTCACAGCTCAAAGTTCATCTCCTCGAGAAGAGAAGCTTCCTCTAATATATGCCAATCATTCCACAAGCTTTGGACTAACCTAAATCCACCCTTTTTCCTCAAGGCACCTTTGTAATCACTGTGCTTATCTGGATGTGTTCTCAAGAGCAGACCAACTGCTCTCGGCCATTGCAACACCTAGAGGGCAAGGACTCTGAATCATCATGACCTCTGGCCTTGAGAATGGACCGTACACCCAAACATTTGTCTGTCTGTTCAATAAATACTCTCCAAAGGACCAACTCCGAGACAACAGAGGTATTCCACTGCTCTTCTGAGAAAGAACATCACTTATTAATAGAACGTGGACACAGAGAGGATCCTTGAAGATTATCTAGCCCAACCTGCTTTAATGAGCCCTGCCTTACAGGTAGGAAACTGGTGCAACTTTAGGTCCATCTCCCCAGTTCCTGCTCCTGCGATACCCCCAAGACATCCTGGAGCTGAGTCACCAGGGTGACACAACCTGCCTTTGCTTCTTCACTGCTCTTGTTTTCCTACTTCGTTATTTTTTTAATCAATAAATGTTTCTCCCGGGCATACCACAAGGCTGGACATCATCAGCACTCGGGATAGTGAAGAGACTGGGACTAAGAAAAAGAAACACATACTCACCATCTCTACTGCTTTCAGGCCACTTCTCAGGGTGCTTATTTCTTTGTCCAGCTCAGTCATGCTGTTGTAAATAGTAACATTTTAGTAACCAACATGTGACTTAAATGTATTAAATAGATGATGGGTTTATATATCTCCTGCTTGGAAGTCCACACTAGTTTATTTTAAATGTTTAAAATTCCCTTCCGTGCTCCGATCTCACAGAAAGATAACATTTTAAACTTAGGGAATTTAGATATGGAATTATGGTTTCTGTTTTCCACAGCCAACAGGTATATTTTATAGATTAAAAATAGCAGAATAGAAATGTCTCCCATCTGTACGAAAATACTTCAGATTTCAATCTCACGAAAATCTGACTTAAGCAAATTATTATACGTGGAAATAAAAATAAGTTTTTTGCCATACATGGCTCCCTTCAAACAAGTAAAAGAAACTCTTATCCACAATCATGCTCATATTGTACTCTTCGTAATAACTGCATTGCTCTTCACTGAAGTTCAGGTCATGTGAATATTATAAGGTGATGGCTTAAATTTATTTTTATTTTAAAGGATTTATTTTTAAGTAATCTCTACACCCAACATGGGGCTTAAACTCACCCCCGAGATCAAGAGTGGCATGCTCTATTGACTGAGCCGGCGGGTACCCTGGTGATGGCTTAAATTTCAGTCAACAATGATACTTCTTAAAATTGTACTAACTAGATTTCACTGTCTTTTTGTATAGAGAAAGTTTCCTGGGCTTCTCCTATAAAACTTTCTATTTGATGGCTTTTAAACATCAGAGATTATTAACATAATCCTCTCAGATAATTTAGATGTAAACAAATTCACCAATATTTCAGTTAACTTTTTAATTTCATGTCTCACATTTCTACAAATTCTACAAAAAGAGGGAAAAATTAGCCTGCTCATCATACTTTTCAAATTCACTGCAAAAAGATACAGTTTTAAATACACGCACACACACACACACACACACACACACACATTTTTAAAGGGCCAAAAGGAGGAGAGAAGAACAAGGAAAACTGCCTGCTCTTCAGTCTCTGAAAAGTGGTGTGAAGTCTGTGGTGTAAGTTTGGCAACCTTCCATTTTATTTTTAGTTTCTTCATTTGCATAAAGACTGCTTTCCATTAAAAGGTTGCCTTGGTTTCTGAGAGTGTGTGCACATGTGAAAATTACTAGCAACGTCTTGATATTTAAGTTCTATTTGCTTAGCTATGTATCCTCATTGACTAAGGGTGCTCCTACCTGTATTTAATACAACTACGTTTCAAAAGTACTAGGGAAACCACACTCCTTTCTTATACTCTTAATAACTCAGAAAATTAGGTTTTCTGGAAGTTAAAAATTACATGCAGGAGTAGTCCAAAAGAGCTAGAAAACATATATATTCAAAACCATGTAACATATTTCAGTGACTTGGATAGGATTCAAACTTTACTTCATAAGCTCTTCAGGGGAAAGCAAACAGAAGGACCCTCTTCATGCAATGCCAGCTGACTACCTCAATGGCTAAAGCACAATTCAAGTGATTAAAAAAAAAACTAAAACAATTCCCTGTAAGTACTTACTTTACTTTTGCTGCTTGAGGAATGTCCCGCAGTTCTTCATTTAGATTGAGGACTTTGGGGTATTTATTTTCCACAATAGTTATGAGATAGTGCAGAAGTGTGATGTTCCTACAATTAAAAACGGAAAAAGTATTAAACATGGTTAATATCTGTATATGATTTGCATATTCAGGTGGCTGAACCTGCAAGAATGCTATATTCCTGCATTCACTTCAAAATTTGGAGATTCCTCCAAGGCAGGGATTCTCAAAAGAAGGGAATAGGAATCTCAGCCTACCTGAGATTTACATAACCACATGACAAAAGGAAGCATTTATCTTCAAAAGGGAAGGGAACAAGATTTACTACTTTGCCTCATAATGAGCATCCTTCAAAATCTGGATGATGGAAATGAAGTGGAACCCCTGCCAGTGGGGACATACCTACCAAAGACAAGGTGTGCCCTGAGGCTCACAATAAGGATGGGGTGGGGGGGGGATGGGGACTGAGGGATGCTTAATTCACTAAAAAGGACAGCTAGTTTTCAAATCTAAAAGTACAGAGCAGCAACCCACTGATAAGAATTTATTGATAATTCTCATTTAAGCTTTTTCAACTCTATGATAACTTTTCCCCCTCTGACTCATTTATTTTGCTAGCTTTCGTCCCCTCGGACTCATCTGTTTTGCGGTTGTAGTGAAGGGCGGTCAAAAAGTTAGGAGGTCCCCTGCTGTAGGGCTGGGCCTGAAGTGGGCCAGGACTGTGCCATAATGACTATGACATCCTTGCAGCCAAGAATCCACTTCCTAATTTTAGCAACACTTCAGCTCCTAACTGTATAACCCAGCTCCCTCTTTGGTGGTGACAGGACTGAACCCTGACTGACCTGGGTTGAAAAAGTGGATGCCTGATAACACCGTCTGTTAGGCCAAGCTGTGGTAGTCTGGTCCCGTTGTCCCTGACTCCAGTGCACATTACAGTCACCTGGACCCCAGATGCCTGGGCCAACCTGAGATTCATTTCACTGGAATGAGGGTGGGGCTAGGCACAAGTATTTTTAAAAACTCCCCAGTAATTCTAAGAGCCAGGATCAAGAACCACTAGTCTACTGAAAAGTTACCATAATCAAGAGGACGTAAATGTATTTCTTTAAAGACATGTTCATAATTTTTAGGCAGTTTGCTAATTTACGAGGCTAAGTCACAACAGCCGCACCCACCCCTAACTAAAGTGAAGCAGAGTTGTCAAATAATTTCCTTTCCCATAATAATGAAATGGTTTTCATTTCTGGTTGCCCCTGCATCTTCACAGAAGTCAATTCGATCCCATTCCTGTGAGTCAACTGGCCCACGTGTGGAAAAATTTTTTCCTTCCTTTTTCTTGCTTTCAAGAAGTAATTAGAAAACAATAGCTCAGACAAGTAAAGCAGTGGCTAATGATTCTGGCCATTTACTTTGCAGATATTGAGCTGTTATCCTTCCATTCCAGTGTTGCTGTTCACAGAATCTGAGTGTCGGCCCAAGTGCCTCCTGCAGAAGGGACCAAATCCCAGCTACCATTATGAGAAAGGGTAGAGCCATTTCTCATCACTCTTTCACAGAGATGCTTTGTTATTTAGAGAAACTGAATTTAATTAACCACATATACTTTTCTTAGTGTAGAAAGACTTCATGCTAGATCAGAACGTTCACATTTATTTGCTATCCAAATAACACCTCATTTGACTGAATACAAATTCTTGAAGAATGAAAAGAGCCACCCATTTGATTATTTGCTGGTATTACTGGAAACAAGCATTTAAAGCAGAGTGAGTGAACGTACCCTGCACTGCTAACTGTCCCACCCTTGTACAGTCTGATTAGATTCAACTGAGCATTTACTGAGTGACTGCTTATAAACAAGGCACTCTGCTAGGCACTATGGGTTTATAAGACACTGGTACTATTTCTAGGGACCAAATATTCACAGGAAGAAGAGGAAAAAGAGATCAGAAATGTTTTCAATTTATTATTTTGAAAAGGCTTGTGTATTAAATTCTATGGTAACTTCAATAAGCAGATAATTACAAAGTAAGTGCCAGGTTATCAGTAATGAGGGGGCGGAGGGTATCAAGGCAAAGAGAGAGAAGGAAGGGGGGGAGAGAGGGGGTGAAAGAGAAGGAGGGGGATGGGGGAGGGAGAAGGAGAGAGAGAGAGACTAACTGCTAGTGAGTCCAACTTGCAAGCCGAGTTGAAGAGAACACCTTCCTTAAAAAGGTGACTGCTCTTTAAATGCAGCTAAGATGTTGCAGTTATCTACTACAACTTCCAAATAAGATCCATCTGTTGTTGGAGTAGAGCTGAGGGCAACAGAACAGGTGTCAAATACCTGCGAGGACAAATACCTTGCTTGTGATCTTAGGCAAGCTAAACGAACCACTTGACACTGCCTCAGTTTCTTTATCTGACAAGAGGCGATACAGCACTTTGGCCTGTGTGTGCCACACGATCAAATACGAAAGTGCTCTGGAAGGATCAAGCGCTTACATTAAAAATAAGGTGGTGATAGCATTAACACCTTTGTTAATCTATCTCTACATGAGGCAAAAAATAAGCTTTAGCCCTACAACTTAACACACTGCTTATTTCTTATAGGATGGATTCAGGGTTGCCATAATGCTAATGCATCACTAGTTTTATAGAAAATATAGAGTAAAAAGCCTTACTAGTGAGGGATAATTAGGGTGAACAGCCCATATTTCTAAAAAGAATGTGGATGCAGGGAAGTTCACCTTAGAAACAATTGTGCAAGTGGCTTTGAAGTCAGTAAGAACCTTAGAGAAACAGAGCTCCCTGGGAAACTAGTGTTGTTATGCCTAATGATCCTACCTGTTAATGACACCAGAGCATTTTTCACCTCGGTATTTCTAACAAGAATTCATTCACCTGAAACACACTTTCTAGGAAACATTTTGAGGAGTCTTGGAAGGAGCAGCTTAATACCAACAGCCAAAATGCATTTATACCTCATAATTTTTTACAGCTGCTAGCTTCAATGTATAAAGGAAGGAAGGCATATCCTAAAACCCCAACAAGCTTCACATTCTCTTATCAGCTGTCAGGTTTTTTTTCTTTTCCCTGGAACACAGTTCTCTGTGGAGGGGTCATGACTGGGAGAGGTCATGAAGAGACCAGGAGCATGTGGGTCACATTCTGTCTCTTGGTCTGGGCACTAGTTATATAGAGGTTCAGACTGTGAAAATTCATCCAGCTGTACATTTCTGACTAGTGGACTTGTTTTTACACTATAATACCAAGTTTATCCAAGAAAATCCAAAAACTTAAGACTAGACGCTATCCCTGGGGACTGAAAATGGATGAAGGATAATTGGTCCGATGGGAATTTAGGGTTATTTGTGATTAGGAGAGAAGAGAGAAGTCAGTGCTGGATAGGGAAAGAACATGAGCGAGAGACAAGCAAACCGGAGGCTGCAGGATCAGGGAGGCCCAGGAGGCCCAGAGGGGTCCTGACTTCAGCTCCTGGGTCCTCCAAGTGTTGGAAGATACTGTACTTACTTGTCAATACTAGATTTTGTGTCAGCAATCTTGTTTAGGCTGGATATCTTGAATCCATATGCATTGCCTCTTTGGCCTTTATTCATGTAATTTCCAAATGCCAAAACCACTTCTAGCAACTGCTTCAGGGCGCTGCTCCTAAACACCTCTTCTGAGCCAGAACGAATTGCTTCAAAATAAAGCACACATAAACACAACTACTACAACCAAGACTCTTCAGTAATACCCATCCTAAATCCACACACCTGAGAGCAGATATTGAAGATGTAAGACTGGGTCATTGGACTACCAGGGAGCACTTACAAAACACCTAATCTAGACGCAGAGAGCGAGGGGACAGGGAGAGCCAGCTGACCCAAGGGTAGCTGCACAATCCTATACTTTCTTAGTCCTTTTCTTGGCTGACTCATCAACCATAAGCAGTTAAGAACATACAGAAAGCGGGCGCCTGGGTGGCTCAGTCGTTAGGCGTCTGCCTTCGGCTCAGGTCATGATCCCAGGGTCCTGGGATCGAGTCCCACATCGGGCTCCCCGCTCAGCGGGAGGCCTGCTTCTCCCTCTCCCACTCCCCCTGCTTGTATTCCTGCTCTCGCTGTCTCTCTCTGTCAAATAAATAAATAAAATCTTTAAAAAAAAAAAAAAGAACATACAGAAAGTGACTGCATTTCCCACATTCCTGTGCAAACACTTTCTTGCCCGGTATAAGTCAGATCAACAGGATTATTGATCAAATCTATTGACAAAAAAACCTGGCCGAATGTGTTTCATGTTACAGTTTGTTGGTGTCATCAGGGATTGGGGCCTGAGCACAGTCCTGAGTCTAGTCTGCACTCTGTGGTTGTGCTCTTCAGCTGCCCATGCTTCAAACACTCAAAAATTTAATAGCCTTAAGTCTTCCCCGAGAAATATCTAGTAAAGCACCACTGCGATAAAGCTAGTTACAGATTTAACACTAGTAGCGGTCAAATATATTTCTCACCAACTCCCAGGAAGTTAAAAGCCCACTTCTACAGAGGAGCCCAGGAGATGTACTGTGAGCTCCAGAACCCAGGCTAGACCAGAGGGCCAAGTGTGGACCTTCAGTAACTACCCATCAGAATACCAAAAGATTTTAAGCAAAAAAAATCCCCCAACAGATCCTGTTTACTATCTGCACTTGGATTGTATTTGCAAACGGGCACTTATGATGAACATCATTTTTAATCTGGAGGCCTGACTTTACCTTCTACTTTAGGTTTCACTTCTGCCACACGTTCTGCAAACTTCTTTTTGAAGTACAGTGATTGTAGTCTTTGCTGATAATGATTAATTCTGTAAGAGCAAGCATGGATTGATGAACATTTATTTACTTACTTACATGCCCCCCCAACACACACACACACACACACACACACACACACACACACACACACACACAAACACCGTCTCCTGGACAGGAGCACAGGAAACGAGGCCACTTTGTCTGGAGAGCCCATTTCCCTCCGACCAACAGGGGGTATTCGGGCAATGGCAGCTGGATCCTTAGCTCTAAACAGATCAGGCAACTGCTAAAAGAAAAGGAAAGTTGCCTCCTCCCCTCCTCAGAGTCCCAGGAGCTCTTGTGAACAGAGGAGATAAAAAGGAATGAAAATATAAAGCCTCTCCCCATACTGCCGCAAATAAGGGGCTGTTTCCTAAGTTTCTCCCATGCTTCTTAACTTTCCACAAAGTCTGCCTTTGGCAAAGCTGCAGAATAAAACTTGTCTCCATCATTCTCTCCTCATATCATCCACTCCCCACTCATGTCCCCAAACCATCTCTTTCTTTACTGCTAGCTCCCTGTCTTCTTTCCTCAGGGCCGGCAGGCTCTACCTTCCAAGATAGCAACCGGTGACCAGAGATAACAGGATGCAAACTGGCCCCTGGTCACACTAAGTTGCTGCTGCTGAGAGGGTGAGGGCAGGCATTCTTGCCACGGCCTTCTGAAATCAAATCACTGCCTTACCTGCTCTCTATTGGAAACTTCAGGGCTAATCAAACAGACCTGGGTTTGCAGCCCAGGTTCTCCTCTTGTTAGGTGACCTTCAATAGGTAACCAAACTCCTCCATTAGATGGAAGAAAATACCTCCCTACCCAACAGCCCTCCTGGCGGGACTGGTAGGAAGATCAAGGGGAAGGATGTATGCACAGATCTAGACAATTACAAAATGGCAGCAGGTGGCCGTCTATTTATCTACACACAGGCTTGCTGGGCACACCTGTCAGAATTCCAAAACCATCCTTTGTCCTAGAGTAGTATACAAAATGGCAAGTTGAGCTGGAACAACAACAAAAATAAGTCTGGATATGACAGAAATGTAGAGTGAGAGACACTTTCCCCTTGGCTACACTCGTAGGCCTTTGGTACTCAGGGGAAGAGCTCTGCCCTGGGGTTGAAGGAGAGTCTTGGGACCACTGGTCCTTGTCTAATGCAGAATCAATTTTCCAGGCCTGGGATGGCAAACAGACTCAGCTCACACGCCAAAGAAAATTATGAAGCAGTGGCTGCCTCTGGGTTTTCTGGAGAAGGGTTGAGAATGCTTGCCAAGGCTCTGTGGGAAGTGTGCCATGATTGATTAGAGATGTCTGCATGTGTCATGATTTGACATCCAGACCCTAGCTGTTCATGTATGTGGGCTTCAGGTCGACGCTGCTGAGTCTGTCCATTTTTTGAAATGCTGAGATACAGAGAGGAGTGAGATACAATCCCATAGCAGTCAGAGTGGTAGGGAGAATGACACTATCTGGAACCAGGAAAAGTTATGAGTTGTTTAGGTCCAGAGCCAGAGGTAATTATGAAGAAATGCTAACCCTGGCTCACCCACGGGCAAGAACTCGCATAAACAAATTCCACACAACTCAGACTTAAGAAGATTTTGTAATTTAGAAAGGGTTTAAGTTAAGCCAGGTTACTGGCCCAAATAATTCAACCAGAATCGAAGTTTAACTTCCCAAGAAAGGTAAAGGACATGTTCACGTTTTATGCATTTTCAAACTTACCGGCTCATTTCAAAAAGGAATCTATCAGCCTTGGCCATCCGATCCAGTTCATGTTTATGTTCCTCTAACAGGTCAATGTCACTTTTTTCGGGAACAAATTTCAAGAGCTAAAAAGTACATGCAAATATTAAAACAGGTTTATAACTAAATTCTTGCAGTGATTTTACACTCTTTCAGTTAATTTGCCCCAAAGATGAGACTATAACTTTTGTTTAATTTATAAACTCAGCTACAGGTCATTGTTAAGATATAATACAAATGACTAAATCTTTCCAGTTGGGTGGTCTAAAGGTATCAACTTCCAGTTACAACGTAAGTTCTAGGGATGTAACGTACAGCATGAGGGATGTAACACTGTTATATAATGTACAGCAAAGTTGTTAAGAAGGTCAATTCTAAGAACTGTCATTACAAGGAAGAATTTTTTTCCTTTTTTATTGTATCCATAGGACATGACAGATGGTACTAACTAAACTTATGGCAGTATCATTTCACATTTGTAAATCAAACTACTATGCTGTATGCTTTAAATTTATAGTGATGTATGTCAGTAATATTCAATGAAACTGGGGGAAAAATCTTTTCTTTTTTACTTACAAGTAGTTAAATTGGTGTAAGATTCATTCCTGGCACCTTTCTATTCTATATTGTCTCTCATATCAGATTGTGGAAGCTCTTTACCAGGATCCATTTTGCATAGATCATTAGAGGGATTTGGGAGATTCAACACTCTCATTAGAAGATGATGCAAATGAGGTCCAGAGAGACAAAGCCGCTTACCCAGGATTACAAAGAAAGTTCATATAATCGTCAGAAATAGAACTTAGGTCTCCTGACTCCCAGCTCAATGCTTTTTTCTATTACATCATGCTGGAATGAGTAATTCTATGTGTATTTTCCATTCAACTTGTTTATTTCTCTGGCTTATCTAATTCCATCTCATTTTTTGCTCCATGTCGAGATGGATGAGAAGAACACAGTAGGATGTGGTTTTTGATTCTGTATTTTATGTTGGCGGAAGAACTGAGCATGGAATGTGGGAGAAATAGCAATAATATTTAAAGTTGAAAAAGTACTCTGTGTCTGATTTCCTTTACAGTCACAAATATGTGTATATGTACCCACAGCCTTGTCCATGTATGCTATTTTCTGTCAGACGCCCTTGGATATATACATTTTTTAATGACACTGATGCTCTGGACCCCAAGATTCTCCCCAAAACTTGAAGCTGGCATTTGGATGGTTCATTTAGTAGGTTTCCAAAGTTTGTTGGATTTAACAAAGGGACCTCAGAAAAGGCAGTCAGTCTGGGTACCATCAGCAGGGAAAGAGACTTAGAACTACAGGTGAATGGTGTGCAGTTGAAAATACATTCCACGCAGAGTACACAGCATGTGCCAGGGTCTGGAATGGGCGGCACAATATTTATGCAAGTAGAACAGCTATAATGGCAGGGGGGAGGGCAGCAGTGGTCAAGGTCAGGGAGTAGCAAGGACCTGATAAGAAGTTCAGTCTTTATTTTGAGGGTTCTGTGATATAACTTAAAATCTTAGGTAGGGGAATGAATTTACATTTTAAAAAGACCACCACGCTCACAGGATGGAGAAAGAATTAGAAAGGATCAAAAGTATTAGAGGGTTGTGATTAGACTGTTGGTACAATAATCCAGGTGAGAGAGGACAGTGGTGTGGATTGGGTAGTGGGTAGATTCTAGAGCTACTCAGGGAATTGAACAGAACTGGCCTGACGTGTTGATGGATGATGGATTATGGTAGAGGGTCAAAAGGATGAGGTCCAGGCTTCTGGCTTGGGCAGCAATGTATACAGAGTGTAACAGGAAACCCAGGAAGAAATGGCTGGAGGAGAGTGGGGAGGGAGAAAGTGAGTTTAGTGTTTGAAATACTGGCAAGAGAACCAAGTAGTGATTCCTAGTCGGCAGTGGACAGATGGGTCTGACATCCTAAAGAGACCTGTTTGGAAGACAAAGCATCGATACTGGTTGTAACATGCCAGGATGTGAGTGAGGTAACCAGGGGAACCATCAAGAGAAACAAAGCAGGGCTGGAAAGAAGCCAGTGTTTGAGGAATGAGCAAGAGGAGGAACCTTCAGAGGAGACAATGAAATGCCAAAGAAACACATTTCACCATGGAGCAAGTGGCCATTGGTGTCACATACCAGCAGCAAATCAAGGAAGATAAGGACTGCAAAGAGCCCCCTAGCTTTGGCAACAAGGAGGTGGCGAGTCCTTACTGAGAACAGCTTTAGGGAGGTGAGGAAGAGTGAACAGGAGGTGAGTGTGGACAAGCTTTCAAGAACTTTGCTTGTATCAAAAAAGAGGCCAGTAGCTAGATGGGCATGTGTGGTATTAAAAGGTGTTTTGTGAAAGGCTGAGACTCGAACAAGTTAAGAGTCAAGAGGAAAGGGTGTAGGTCGAGGAGAGGGGGATAGGGTGCTCTGATCTGGCTGGGTCCCTGAGCAGAAGGAAGGGCTGGGCCAGAGCAGAGGCCAGAGACAACCCCTCTTTCCTGATGGGATGTAATGGATGTGGATGCCAGTGGGTTCACTGGTCTGGTGGCCTGATAAGATTCTAGGCATTTATGTTCCTGTGTTCAAAAGGTGCCAGTGGACAGGACAAACATCTTCTTGCTGTTCCTCAGTTCAGGGAGGAACGAAGGAAGGCAGTAAGGCAAGGGGAAGGGAGAAGGAAGAGAGAGAAAAAGACTTGTTTTTTCCCCTTGTTTTTATCTACTGGGCAAGGAAATTCAGTTCTAGTCTTAGGGACTCCCCCTACCCCCAGGACACACACACTGGTTTGTGTGTGCTAAGCCCATAGGCCTCTGTTCACAGTAACGCAATCACTAGCTCTCTTTGGCACAGGACACTGTGAGAGGCACATGCTAAGGGTTCAGTCCTTCCCAAAGCAGAGTCAAGTGACAGACTACGTATGGATAGTTTTAAAAGAGGAATGAAGAGTTAGACAAACACCTGGGAATGAGGAGAAAGGTATGCATTCCAAGAAATAGGAGGGTATCAATCTCGTCTGAGTTCTGAGCTCAGCAGCTAAAAGCAGGAGAGGAGGGAATGATGTAGTTCAAATGCAAATCATAACTAGGAGTAAAGAGATGCTAGCTTCAAGTTTGTCTGGGAGAAGTGCTGTGTGAAGGAAGAGGAAGCAGAGGAAGAAGAGTAGAATAAGGAGGAAAAGAAAGAGTATGGTAGATGATCAGAAAGTAAGACACACAGAATTATCAGGGCAGACCAGGTCAAAAGTATCCCACTTGGCCAGATTCTGCTTCAGTAGATTGATTTTCTTACTTGTATGTATTTGAAGTGCATTCTCTTTGCACTGTAAGCCCTTTTGGCAAGATCTTGAAATCCCTTCCCTCAAGGAGGAATTTTGCGGGATGCAATTTCACAGTAAACAGATCTTGTGGAATTTTAAACATATGACCTTGTCAACAGGGGCTGAAGGCCTAAGGACCAAAGCAGCTTTCCGCATAGTTCCTCCCTCTGCGTGAGTAGCTTCTGATGCAGGCAACCAGAGTGCAGGGCCAGCTAGGGGCTGGAGGGGGGCAGAGGGGGTCTGGGCTGCACTTCCAGGCAGAGACCGTTGTTAGGACTAGTTGCAGACGGAGAGGGAAGGGTGTGCAAGAAGCTGTAAAATGCTCCAAAAAATTAATCTTCAGTTTAGGAATTATTTTTAAACTATTTGTACACAAAGTATCCTAACAGGCTTGGATACAGTGTCATGGACTATTGGTAACAAAGTCAAACCTCAAAAAGGACAGCATGACAACTTCTTCCATTGCTAAGTGTGAGGGTTTCCCCCAGGACGACTGCAGCTGCAGGTTTGAGGTGGGGCAGGTGCACTGGGGTGCGGTGACACCGCACACATCACTCCTCCCTGCTCTGTGTCAGAGGCCTTTTCAGACAGCAGTGAGAACACTATGGAAAATGCATAAGCAGCCATGCCACCCAAGATCACTGTTATCAACACCAAACAGCCTTCTCCTCTGCTTCTGGGAGCTGAGCATGCCTACAGCTGAGACCTCAAGTTCAGCCTGGCATCATGATCGCTGGGGTCCACAGTTAACCTTCAGTGGACTTGGCACTAATAGATGTGGACCTCTAGACCAAAATCATGCAAAATAGGATTTTGTACCAAGGACAATGAGACAAGTAGACAGAACAGTCTCAGAAAGTGGAGATGATCTCCACGAAGCACAGAAAAACTTAGGGTCAGACCGAGAGACAGGTAATAATCCCTGAACCAACTGCTAGTTCAACAACATTGTCATTTAGGGGACAACTGAACAAAGCTGCTGAGAAACACATAACAGAGTTGGAACGGCTCCACAGAATATGTTACAGGAATACGACACAAAGAGAGGCTAAGTCGCTCCATTCAGCTTGCCTGGCCATGGTTAATATGAATTATTTTGATGCAGATGATAGAGCTAGGGGGTTTAACAGTAACCCCTGTGGTGCAGGAATGGCAAGTCAGAGCCAAGACACAAACTATTATTAAGGATTCAGTAATGAATCAGTTTATGTAGTAGTCTGTGATCTCATAGTGCTAGTGAGATTCTCCATTTTCCTGTCCAATAGACTTCCCTAAAGCTAATAGACTGTGCATGACCTATGAAGGCATAATAACTTAATTGCAGCATGAGGGACAGAATCTGGCACTGTGGGGCCCAGGCATCTGACAAACTTGTGACCTTCTTTTTCACCCAACATTTTGAGGAGCAATGAGAGAATAAAGTCTCTTAAGACAGCCACATTCAACTTTGGTTCAGAGATGAGGAAATTATCTACCAGCAACAACCAGATTTTCTCAATATCCCACCCCCTGCTGAAAGCCAGTTGTCACTTACGCTCTGAGATATGTCTGGCAGCTCACCTGTTCCAACATGTCCTTGGGCAGATCTTCCTGCTCGTCCATTGTTAGAATTGCCCGTTTGATTTCATCATTGGACAGTTTCAACCTGGATAAAGAATATTTTATTTTGTTGTTAACAATATTGGCTTGAGTATTAAAATTTAATGCAAAAGATAATTCATTCTGCTACTCCAGCTGCTGATTTTCAAGAACTGCTTTTCTCAAAATCTCTTAGTGAAAGCTTATTTCCTGACAATATTGCACCTAAAAATAGTATTTTGAAACTGCTTTAACATTCTTTCAGGACTTCGTAATGCTCTGCTGACACAGAGAACAAAGCTGTTATGTTCTATTGTTTAGTTTCCTTAAGTAAGGGATTGGAGGATGAGAAATAGGGAAAACACCGACACACACCGATTTCTTTAATATATAGTATCCATGAATTGTAGATGAGAGAGAAAAACTAAATTCTTTTTTTTTAAGATTTTTAAGATTTATTTATTTATTTTAGAGAGAGAGAGACCACACACGCAAGCAGAGGTGCAGAGGGAGAGGGAGAGAGAATTTCAAGCACGCTCCACGTCCAGCGCAGAGCCTGGTCTCACAACCCTTGAGATCATGACCCAAGCCAAAATTAAGAGTCGGATGCTTAACCGACTGAGCCACCCAGTGCCCCAAAAAACTAAATTCTGAACTTGATTATTCATTAGGAGTGCTTAAAGTTTGCTTTCAGCTTAAAAATGGATTTTAAAAAGGTGGAAATCCGTTATCATTAAAATGTTCAATAGTTAATATGCAGAATAAAATGTATAAGGCACTTCATGAGGAGTTTTCACATATATTATTTCATTAGAGGTTTAAAATAACTGTGATGGTCATTTTTTTTTTTTTAATGGAAGGAGAAACTGAGGCTCAGAATGGCTAAGTGATTTGCCCAAGGTCAAACATATGGAAAGTGGCAGTATCTAACACAAACATGAAACTCTTGATTCCTAACCCCAAATTCTTTTTACAAATCTGCTTATCTAGTTAATATCTTTTAGGGAAGAATTTATGCAAAACCACAAATCTGTTTTCTGTTTACCATAAATTTATATGATTTACTAATTTAAATAAGGATTTATGTCTTGATTGTGTCAGCACAACAAAGTGTGGACTATAAAGAAGAGGCATGAAATTAAAACGTACTTGTAAAAATGTATTTTTATTAGACACAACCAATAGTCTTAACCAGGGGGAAAAGTCTTAATCAGATTATTAGCTAGAACAACAGAGTCACTCTTTTGTTCTATTTGTAAGCATTAGATCCAGACTTACTTAAAAAAACAAAGAAACAAAACCTACTTCCTTATTAAACTACCACTAAAGTGCCATATTAACATTATTTGGTCTGTTCTAGTCTATGATCTTCAAGAAAAAAAATCACATTTAGGCCTAGAGATAAAGACATAAAACCACAAATACAGAGCAAGCCTTCATGGGGAACATTTGAAGGCGGGGGCTTCGGCATCAGGCTGGGCCCCAGTCCTGGCTGACAATGCCGGGCCAGTGCGACCTTGATGAAGTTTTTCTTAAGCCCAGTTTTCTCATCTACAGAGTGAAATACTGCATGTAAAGCATTCAGCACCCTGCCTGGCCATGGATAAGGCTCACTAAACTATAGGTATTACTCTACAACACTTTTCTGCACCGGGGACAAGTCGCAGCAGGACTTTTGTAAGGTAACCTACACATTCACAGGCAATTACGTGATCCTTACACTGTGCTTAGTAGGGTTATCACGAACACTTCCCAAAGCACTCTCACACCCATCATTTCACCAGTTTCCTCTCTGTACACAACATTGATTAGGCCCAGGAGTATTAACCAAGAATTAGAAGACAGGGTTCTTATTTTAAAGGTGGTTGTAGTGTCTGGGAGAATCAAATAATAAGCCGAAACACTCGTGCTCTCACAGATAAACGAGAAGGCAGCCTGAGTGCAGGGGTGGACACAAAGGTCACAGAAAGAGGAAAGAACCCTGGGGTAGAGCGGGACGATGCACACCCCGCTCTGGACAACTCTGGCTTGTTCTTTTCTCTAGATTTTGACATGATCTTGTTTAAACCAGCCATCTTGCTATTTACACTGAATGCTGTTTCATGTGCCAAAAAGTAGGAAAGGTAAGGGACAAATTTGTGAATCTTATCGTACGAGTAGCATTCTCTTTTTTTTTTTAGAGAGGGAGAGAGAGAGTGTGCGTTGATCGATACAGGGCTAGATCTCACGACTGTGAGATCAAGAGTCTTAAGAGGCTTAACCAACTGAGCCACCCAGGTGCCCTAAAATTGCCCATGTTCTGAAATGAGACCCATTCTATCACCTAGTTGGAGGTACGATGCCATCCTAATTCCCTGGACCTGCACAGACTTCAGATTGTTTTAGTCATTCTTGGGACAATCACCGCCCCACAAACATTTTCACCAGAACATCATGATGGAAAACCCCCCAAATTAACTGGAACAATTTAGCCGAGTTGGCATGGGTAAGACATATGATAGGATAAAAACTGTATCCTAGCTTCACTGTACAGGCTCTGGGTAGCCCTCAATTCCAGGACACTAAAGGCTTTGAGTCAGTTAAGAGCAAATACCACAGTTCAGCCATGCAAGGCCAAGGAAGAGGAACATTAAGGAAGGTTGAAACTGCCACTAATGAAAACCAACTGGCCGTGGAAACATCTACAGTCATCCTGAGAAAAGCTCCACTTGTAAGAAAAAAATAAATTAGTTCTGTGTCCTTTTCACACTGAGCTGAAGAAACTACTTTACGGTGTGATTCTGCTGAGTCCTTCTGTTTTGCATTTAAAAGGAGCTGAAAATCGGAGTGAGAACAATACTTGAAGTATCAGATTTGCATTTCATTAGCTCCCCATATGGAGTGCAGAACTTCTTGCTTTTGAAATTGTATATATTTATGCTTCTCAACCTCCAGAGGTTGTCTGGACTACACACTAGCTCTAATTCATAACAATTTTGGTTTCTCTTTATGTGTCCCACAAAGAGACTCGAGACTTTAATGGATAGTACTTAAGAAAATCTACCTGTCAACATACTGCCTTGCACGTGGCCTGTTGGAGCAGACAAAGAAACTGTACCCCCGGGGAAAGAGGAGACGGGGACTCCGCCCTCCGGGATGGTTCTGTAGGTTGCTGGGTTCTTAATATCATCTGTCATCCACAGAATGAGTCGCTAATCTCTGTAATTTAAGGACTCTACCAATTCTAACGTTTTAACTGCTGTTAAAGCTTGGCAGTGTTCTGGTGTGCTGCAGGGTGGCAACTTTTGAGACATCCACCTCAACTTTCTTTACAAGGCAGGAAACAAACCGCCATTTAAAAACAGTATTTAAGTCTACCTTGCTCCACTCAGGTATTTCAAAAATTTGCCAAGAGAATTGGAACATTCAGGCATAATTAAAATAAGTTAGGGATGGATGGCTCAATCAGCCTTAGCTCTGCTTCGGTGGATGTAAGCCAAATCTCCCCACTTTAAAGTAGCTTTGTGTGGTTTACTGCACCCCGGCTGCCATGTTAAGTGAGCATCTGGAAAACAAGAATGGCACAACACTTCATAAAAGTGTATTTTAGGTGGGTTCATTTTGCAATATAAACCAGCTTCCAAGTTTCTTTTTTTGTGGGGGGGAACAGAGAGGTCTGTTTTAGGGAATAAAGCAGAGTGAATTTTTAAATTGCCACATGCCGCCTGCCTATACCCAGTAAGTTGTTGCTCGCTCCGCCTGCAGCCTGAGGCAGGGGTTCTTAGTTTGAGGAACATCATGTCCATTTCACTTGCAAGTCTGTGACAGGCAGGGTCCCTCGTGGCCTGGAGCTTCTGTTTCAAACTCACACCTTCCAGGCAGTCTCTTCCTGGGAGCTACAAGTGATCCTGGCCACTCAGGCGGCGAGTTCCATGTATAGGGCCCGCACGTCCCTCCCCTGCTTGGCTTGTGGGACAGGATGGGTTTCCTTCTGACTCCCTTTTCTGCTCCGGGCAGGGCTGTGGCAGGTGCTCTGAACAAAGGGTCCACTAACTTCTTCAGTGTGGGGGTAAGGGCGAGCTTTTAGGGATAACCAAATGCTGCAGACACATGTGTTCATGAAAATATCCCCCCCTGGAATACACCACAGGCTTATACTGTGGTAGAATCTGGGGAGAACACAGTGTAGCTGGGAATTAAACTCCTTGTCAGCAAGGTAAGAGACAGGGTCGCCAGTCTTGGGGAATGAAATATGTAGAAAAGAAGAAAGTAAGTGTGGAAGGGAAGGAAATCTTGACATCGATTTGGAAACACTCCTATTCAGTGTCCCCATGCACAACACCGGTGTCCAAGTCCTACTGAGGGTCGTGTGTCTCTCAATTCTGTCTCTTGTCAGGTCTTACCTGGACCTAAGGGCCTCCTATCTAGTGGCTGCTCTCGTGGCCAGCTCTCAACCCCTTCCAACCTCTCCTGCAAACCCTAGAGAGCAGACTTCAGAACTTATTAAAACAAACAACTTGCACCAATTCCTGATCCCACGGGATCACAGGCCACTGACTGAGCAGCGACTGAATGCGGGTCCTGGCAGCAGCTGCTTCACACGCACCGGGTCTAACACTCCCGCACCGAGAGCCCGCCGCAAGGCCAGTCCTCTCCCCATCTCCATTCTACAGATGAGGAGGGCATGGCTTGACCCTGGCTCAGCAGTGCCCTCACCAAGGCAACAGGCATGGGTCCTGGGCTCCCTTGCTCAGTCTCATTCTTTATGACTGAGGATTGCTACAATCGCGGGGCTCTCATCAGCTGTGTGCCTACCTGTCAGGTGCCTTGGCTTCCGTGGAGCCCCTCTTTGGAACTGCCTCCCGTCCCGTCCCCCCTCCCCACCGCCCTGTAACTGTTATCGCTCTTTGAGGTCCCCTTTCTCTGGTGAGCCCCGTCGGTGTCCTTCTCACTTGGCTGAGCTCCTGGCTCCTTCGGGTCAGATCAGCCTAGGCCTGAGCTGTTCCCAAGCCACCGTGCCTATGTCATTTCTCTTCTCCAGTGAGCCATGAGCTTTCAAAGTCACAGTCTGCTCTGTGGCACCCTGCATAGTGCCAGGAAAATAAATGCTCCAAAGTGTTAACCTAAGAAAAAAGCATCGCACACACTTTCACAGATTTCTTTCTTCCTTCTAGCCCCTAACTCCTTTCGTGTGTAGTAACGCATTGCCAACGAAGAGGGGAGAATGAAAGCAAGGTGAACTGCTGACCGGTTAAACAACTAAATATAACCCAAATTAAAACTAAATCTGCTTCATTTCTGTTATCTTTACCACATAGCATATTACAGGTCAGTTCTGTGCTTTCCTGACAGGAGTAAACCCATTGATCATGGAGCAGAAAAGCATGTAGGGCTGAATCCTCTGTGGGAAAGGTGGTTTTAGAACCTGATCCGTAAGGTCTAATCGCTGTAAGGTCAACTGGGACTCAAAATTACCTTGTTATGTACAATACACTTTTTAATTATGCTCATTATAGTAACACTCATTTGTTAAATTGGATTTTAATAGATAATTTAACAGATACAAGGCAATTTCTCAAAATTATCTTCCAGAGAGGGTTTAGATACACTCAAGTTCTAAGTCACCTTGGGCTCTGACACTTCTGAGGTAACAAGGAAATTGGCACACTACAAATTGGAAATAACTCCTTCAATAATGAGATGGGAAATTTGCCAGAAAGAGTTGTAACCTTATCTATAACTAGTGTTAGTGTTATTATCCTCACTGACATCTCATGCTGAGAATAATCTGTCTGTGAGGAACTGGGTCACAGATTTTACTGTGATGAGCACTTAAGTACTATAGCAATTCAGAGTGATAGCTCCCTTTCTCAAGCTGTTTAAAAGTGTTCCTCTAGACTGCAAAAGCACAAAATATAGGCAGAAATTCCAGGCTTTAGGGGAAAAAAAAACTTTCCCCAAATTTTCATTTAATGTCACTATTAAGAATGTGACTTGTAAAAAGAAATTATAACAAAACGAACTGTACATACCATAGAAGAAAAATAAGTAGACCTTTAGATTTTTCATTAGTATTTTCCTGAGCATGTGTTCAGGGAGAAAAAAATGCGGCTAAGTACAGGGCCTGGCCATTTACATAGCTTCCAGCCAGAGGCACAAATGAAATGCTAACCTGGGATCAAGCCCCGCATCGGGCTCCCTGCTCGGCGGGAAGCCTGCTTCTCCCTCTCCCACTCCCCCTGCCTGTGTTCCCTCTCTTCGCTGTGCCTCTGTCAAATAAATAAAATCTTAAAAAAAAAAAAAAGAAAAGAAATGCTAACAGGATGGTTCATGTTACCTTACTGGTTGTATTAAAATTCAGGGATCTCACTAAGCTTCAGTTTCTCTTTTACTAAAAGAAACATTTGCTCCCTAAAGTAATATATATCTGGCTAATAATCAAGCTCCATGCTGTAAACCAAGCAGCAGTGCTTTGTGTTAAAAGAAACTCACTGTAAGACCATCTAAAAAATAAAGACCACCGGGGCGCCTGGGTGGCTCAGTCAGTTGTGTCTGACTCTTGACTGCAGCTCAGGTCATGAACTCAGGGTTGTGAGATCGAGCCCCACGTCGGGCTCCGTGCTCAGCACAGAATCTGCTTGAGATTCTCTCTTTCCCTCTTCCTCTGCCCCTCCCCCTGCTTGTGCTCTCTGAATAAATAAAACATAAAGACTGCCATTTTCCCTCTACTCTCCCTGAAAGCGAAGCCACTTTACACCAGCTTTAATACATATACAACATTCTTTCCAGAACGTGACCAATGCGACATATACTTAATGCCCCCAAATTCAGGATCTTCATTCACCTCATAAGTGTTAAGTATCTTTGCCTGACAGAAAAGTCCCTTCTAGAGAAAATAAGAAATTAGATACAGAAAAGCTACTTGAAATGCCCAAGACGACCTGACACAGTGCCTGAAGCTACGAGCAGATTCCAGCCTCCCAAATTTCCTTTCTTCTTTTCAAGTTCCAAGGCCGTGATGGTTCATTAATTATGAGAAAGATTTCTGAACAGGGCTGAAATGGATAAATTAGCATTTCACTGGGGTTTGAGATTTACGTATCTCTTTAGTCATAAAAATGTTCAAAAAGAGCATGAAATCATAAACTTGAAGTATAAAAAGGTGGCATAGAAAAGCAAAATGAAACAAAGAGCTGTCATCGTTGCTGCTGATTCTGGGACAGTGTTACTCAACAATCAAAATATCTCTAAAGCCAGGAAATATAAATAAAGGTAAAGTCCATTTTACAGACTCTCTGGAAAAATACACAAAACATTGATTTGGGATGTTCTGCTCTTTAACTTCTGGAGTCTGTGGAAATTAAACTCTGAGAAAGGAAGCATCGAGTTCTGATGCATTCCACGCAGGGAAAGTAAGGGCCATGAGTTCTTCTCACCTTAGACAGAAGAGAATCCAAAGAACTGAATCTCAGCAGAGTCCGATTAAAAGAATAAGCACAAACATGCGGTTTGGAGCCACAGGAAAGAAAAGTTGGTCCTACTAGAAATGTTTATTCAACATCAACAATACCTCGACAGAAGGATGTTGCAATTCTGAGCTCTCCGACCATCAATCACTGAAAGCTCTTTGACTTTAAGTTTGGAACTCAGTGTGTCATCAATGGCATCTGCTTCTTTCTATAAAGAGCATGAAAGAAATCCATCAAAGTCAAACAGGGACATTCCGACTTCAGATACACACTTTTCCTTTATCTTTTCTGTTTATACACACACACACACACACGCACACGCACCCACACAGGCGAAGCGGAGATGGTGAGGGAGGGAGCACAGGGAGGTGATGGAGTTGAAACGAAGGGCTAAAATCGAATTGACAAAGGGAAATAGTAAGAAAAGCTGACCACCCACATTTGAAAAAGCAGTTTTGGAAGAACAAAGTGCATCTCTAAGTTGAAGATGCTAAGCGTGCATAAATTTTCAGTGAGTGGTGCACTCCTTTTGTCTCCCAAATCCCCATGGATAGCGGACAGAAGAACTGTCACTATGAATCAAGCTCGGCTGAGGCTTGCCATTGCTAGTCCTGGCCATTTGCAGGGCCCATTCACTCCAGAACCATTTGCATCCTGACCACTTAAAAAGCTGAACAATAAATCCTCCCAAATGTCCTCATGTGCAACAGGAAGCTCCCAAGCCTAGATGGTACCTTTCATCACCCTGGAGTCTGATGGATAACAGACAGGGGGCAGTTCAAGGCATTAGTTCAATTACTTGAATTAACAACAAAACACTCTTTGCATACTCTGCTGCTGTTCAAAAAGCTGTAAGCAATGATGGCCAGTCATAATTTATGGTGGAAGAGGCAAAAAAAAATTATATATAAAATACTATTTGAGTAAACTGGGCATCAAGGTGAAAAATACAGACTAACTTGATAAATAGCAAGTTTAATTTTATTAGAGGTCAGAATCAATTTTAAAAATGGATCATGGCATTTTTAAAATGTAAGAAAACCAAAGAGCTCTGGAATTGTGTAACAGTTTAGGAAAACAAAGACAATATGGAGTTTATAGTAAGAGGCACCACGTGATCAAACTTCAACTGTTTCCTGTCATGCTGAGATTTCAGGCAGACCTCTAAATATCAGTTAAGAATTGAAACCCAAGGCGGAATTACCTAAGCCCCGCGTTACACTATCTGAAAAAAAATTGGATAACCAAGACATTCTGAGCTTATAGTGAGCCAAGAAGTTATAGTAAGCAAGTTTAGGTGGTTGCTTACTTACCTGCTTGGAGTTACTGTTCACAAAGAAATCCTACAGCCATGGCAGAGGCATGGAAAAGGCAAATCAGACACATGCAGTTCAGAAATCACAGCAACAAGTGGGAGAAAGTCAAAGCAGTCAAGGAAATCAGTGACACAGGGTAAGAGAGGATTTATGCCCCAAGGACCAGCAATGAGAGTTGATGAAGATGGGGGAGGCTGGCTGAAGATACAGTGAAGAGCACGGAAATAAGCGTTCTGGGGAAAGAGAGAGGACATGTGCTGTACACAATTTTCAATGGGGGCAAATCAAATTCAGAGAAGAAAGGACTTAGGATACTTCAGAAAGATCCAAGCTGGGAAAGGAACAAATTCTCTTTGAAAGAAAAATGGGCTCCGTTTATTTAACATGACGATTTTCACTTGAAGCAGAAAATATCCATCAATTCCACCAACTTGGGGAAACTTCTCCCATGGTCATGTCTACTAGCAAAATATGCTTTTTTTGTTTTGGGTTGAAATAATCTCCTGTCTTCTTGTGCCATAAGGAAGGATTAAGAAAATACACCAGACAAGTTCAACAATACACATCAGTAATACTAACACTCAGTATCCCCTGAGAGTCCAAACAATGCCGGATGGCACTGGGGGTAGGTATGAGGAAAAAGACCGTGCAATTAAGAGACAGTAAGTGATCATGTGGTGTGCAGCCCCTTGGTGGCCCTGTCCCAGCTGCCTCAGGGTTGTTCAAGCACACAAGGTCAGCAGCCTCCTCCTGAAATGCTCCAGGTAAGACTTGGAGCGAAGAAGAGCAAGAGGAAGAAGTAACTGACACATTAGAGAAAGTTACAGCTTCCTTTACACATTTCTGCCATGCTGGAATGAGTAAAGCTTTGGTGTGCAAAACACACCCCAGCTTCCAGGCCAACGGCTTGCACGACCAGCAGTTGCCCAGCAGATTCCTTAAGGCCTCACTGGCCCTGGCCGCAGAGCTAAGGCCAATTTTACACAGATGAGCTGTCCCACATCATTCTTCCAGCAGGAAACAAAACATGTCCCTCTTCTGCTCCACCCACACAAGGAGGGATTGCTTCTCTAGAATGACATTTTAAAAAAAAATAAGGGGATAACCACAAGAAATCTTTCTTCTTCTCTGATGCCATGGTTTTCTTTTGTCCCGGTTTTAACCACTAGGTTTTCTACTCTGAAACTCCTTAGGACACTTGCCTTCGGAAAGCAGTGTCTCCCTCCAAGGGCAGGAAAAACTACTGTGACGGGAATTCCAGGAGGTCATCTTATCCGACTTTTCTCTCTTAAAGAGACAAGTTGCTAGTTGAATTTAGATCCAGCTCTTACTGTCTGGCTTTCAAAGAAGAAACTTCTATGAAGTTCTCTAGCAACTTAAGTCTCCGTTATGTTCCCACTGTCAGAAAATTAAGACTTCTGACCTTTACCGTCGTGGGCTATGGAATCAGGCAACTATCATTTATTAGGTGTGAGGCTTGCAGCCAGTCTTACTACCTGCAAAATGGAATTAACAACTGGATTATTACTGTGATGATAAAACACGATGATTCATGTAAAGCATTTTGTAGAGTACCTGACACATATTTATGAGCTCAATACTTGGAAGCTATCATACAATACAATTATCTTTCAAGCTGATGATCAAGCCCATTTTCTCTCCTATTGCTCTCTTTTTCACAGCTGGTTAAGATCTCCCATTTGTTACCAGCAGCAGCAGTAAGTGTAACAGTTAAAAGCAAAGTAATGTATCTTATCTTTCCAGAGGTGAGGATGAGGAACGCCATGGGAGAGTTTAGTTAATTGTTAGCCTTGAGATTTCCCTTCTTTAGGGGCCCTTTAACCAACACATTTTAAATAAAATCACAAAGCTTATTAGAGGGGGCATGTTAAAAATAATGACGCTTCCCCAGACCTCTTTCAAATAAGTTATCATTCTTTTTGAAACTTTAAATTATTCACTAACTGGCTTGGGCCAAACAATGCAGGATCACCTATATTTGGTTCTACCTCACAGGATGTCTGATTCTTTCAGATGATTTTTGGTGTAGGGCTTTGGTAAATAGAAAGTTGGGACTTGCATTTTCAGGAACCAATGATGACAGATTCTTAGAGATAAGGTTCTGCAATGACATAATGATAACACTTCACAGATAATAATAATCCTTACCTGAATGGTTCTTAATCTTTTTGAGGTTGAGGTCCCTTTGTAAATCTGATAAAAGCTAGGGATCCCTCTCTAGAAAAATGCATACTATTCATATAAATACATACTATTTATTCAAAACCCTGCCTTTAATTAACTCTTACCACGGAGTCAATTCCAGAACCTCTACCTTATACTTGGTTTAAGAAAAACCATCATTCATAATTTTCTCTTCTTTCTTCATGTGCCATGGCTAAGGGCCAAGATTATTGAAAATAATATCTTAATTCATAATTTTTCAATGTGAAATCTAGATCTACAGAATAATGAAAATGTAAAAAGAATAAGAAAAAAAATTCTTTGACTGTTTATATATATTAAAAAAAAAATCAGAAGATAGCATTGAATGTTCCAAATGGGAGCCCAAGAATGACATGTCTTTTACATATTAGCAGGAGAGGTCAGATTCTGGAGCTTGGGATAACAGTTATCCTTTGTTCCCTAAATCAGAGCAGAGAGGCTTTCAAATGTTATACTATATGCTGATAAAGAAGGAGTGTCCTCAGGCAAAGAACTGGGAGAAGGAATGGAGGTATGAGCTGTTAATTTATTGCTACAAAGATATGACTCCCCTTAGGTAAATGGGAAATTCATTTTCCTCTACCCAACTTCATGGATAGGGAGAATGAATTTATAACATCTCAACATGAAAATTTCCCACAAAACCAAAATGAATATTGTTTAACTCTATCTGAAATAGTACTACTATGCAATGCACATTATGTATTAAGTCTTTTGTGGTTGGCCTGGAAATCACGCATAATATAGTTTCAATGAGAAAAAGGTTCTGAGACAATTGGCTTTCAAATGAACTTCTGGAATGTAAGCAGGGGAATAACTGCACACTATTAAATTCCATTTCATGTGGCACATAAGCTTACATAATCAGCTCTTGTACACCTTTGCTAGCCACACTGAAAAAAAAAATCCTGAATAGAAATGGTCTTATTCTTAAAATTGGGATTACAGAAAATCCTTTACAAAGCCTGATTTTCATCATGAACAAGACCATGGTGTCAGAACAAAGTGAAACTGAGAATTCACGCCACTTTGTAACCTGGCTATGCCACCCATTCAGACACTGAATATATACTAAGCCATATTTCTATTATTGATGAGATAGGAATAATACCTCATAGAGCTGGTGTGAGGGTTAAATAAAAAGTAAGTATAAGAGCGCCCTGAGAACTAAATTTTGGGGTTGATGAGATTGAGACTGTGCATTTCATACGTGGCACCAAAAATGTAATAGATACTTAATATTATCATTTTTTAGTCTATATTATGGTTGTTTGCAGACTGTCGTCCTCTTTGCTTTTATACTGCAAGTTGCATTGTAAGCCTGTGTAACGGGGCGCCAGGGTGGCTCAGTCGTTAAGCGTCTGCCTTTGGCTCAGGTCATGATCCCAGGGTCCTGGGATCGAGCCCCGCATTGGGCTCCCCGCTCGGCGGGAAGCCTGCTTCTCCCTCTCCCACTCCCCCTGCTGTGTTCCCTCTCTTGCTGTGTCTCTGTCAAATAAATAAATAAAATCTTAAAAAAAAAAAAAAAAGCCTGTGTAACAGTTTAATACATTTGCAACCTTTGAAGTATTTCATATACAAAGTGGACATTATTAATAATCTGTTGATTTTAATGATAAAATATTTCTCAGATCAATTGGGCATATGTTGTGTACGTGTACATATTTATTTAAAATCTCTCCTAAATATCATTAACCAGAGTTCACCTAAATTATATTAATCTCATACCTGAGATTTTGTTCAAAATCTTACTCTGTGTAGTGTTCTTGTTACAGGCATGCAGGTAATGGTATTCATGTATTCTGCTTCTCTGAGATACTAACTTGTTCAAACAACTGGCTGAAGTTCAGACAGTCTGACCAGGGTTTTATAACTGGAGGAAAGAAAGAGGAGATACCATAGAAAAAAATAGGCTCCCAGTATTCATGTGGGAGTGGAAAAGAGAGCAGTTCAAGTGTGATGATAATTACATAGTGCATTGCCAAGATTAAAATGAAAATGCACGGGTCTTAGACATTGCCATTAGATAGGAGACTAGGGAGCAGTCAATGACAGGCACCCCATTTCCTTTACTTTGTCCTACATATTCCTACTAGAATGTCTGCATCTTTGTATTTTTCCTTTGTCTCTCAACATTCAATAAACTCAATAAAATGGCTCCAATTACCTTCATTTGGGAAATATATCTGTGGTTCAAAAATCTCATCTCAAATCCTTGCACCAAGAGGGGAAACATACTTCAATTAAGCTGAGCCAAGTGTGTTGAAATTTTTTTCCAGGAAGTGCTATTGAAAATATAACAAATGATTCTACTTACCAGTCTACTTAGCGTTAAGTACAACTGAAATGTTCTGGTCTATACTGACTGGAATGACTACTGATTACTTAAACAGCGATTGGTTGCTAGGAGACAATTACCCAATTGCTAGGCTTTCTGCAACCCTGTCTCCCAGAGCTCTTGAGAATTGTCCACATATTTGTCCCAGGGCACTTTGGCAGCATCCTTCTGCACCTTCTGCTGAAAGCCTGTTAATTACAAGTCTTATAAACTTGGGTCTTTTAACCACCTGCCTTCATAATAAATGCAGCCTACATGCTCAGACTTGAACAGCATCATTTGGAATAACTGCTGTTTTCCCTTCCTTTAATTTACTCTTCTGAATTCCCAAACCTTCACCTTAGGCAACCAGAATGAACCAGTATTGGTGACTAAAACTGAGTGGGAAATCACTTGGATATGTAATGAGGTCAGAAGATCATTTGAACCTACCAGGAAATTTGTTAAATGTCCTATGACTTCATGTCAAGGCCCAGAGAACACCTTCCTGGGTCAGCACAGAGAGACAGAGTGAGGAGGCCCATTGCAGTCAATCGGGAATGAGTATGATCCAAGCACCTGCCATATGAGGGCCCTAAAACATACCCTTTGTCCTTTGAAAGTTAAAGTGTCTGGCCGTCTTTTTCTTTGTTTTCCTTTATTTTGTGTGTACAACTGCTTCATACTTATGGGGGAGGGAGGGAGGTCCCAGCTGAGGGCTCCTGTTTTAGGGTCACGCTACCATAGCAGACAACTACCTGCATTTTTGTACTTCACTAACATAGCCTAAAATGCACTGCGGAGAGACTTTCCCTCTCAGTCAAAATATTCTGGCTAAAAGGCATACACTACCTCTTCTTTTCAATTTCAGACTCATCAAAAGTTTTGAAATAAAAACCTGTCAGCTTTTGCTTCTCCCCAGCTTCAGTCCATCTTCTCCCTGGTGCTTGCTTGTTCTGTTCTGAGACACTCTTTCTTGAGAACCAGGCCCAGCCTAAGTAGACCAGGAAGTGTGTAGCTTGTCTGAGGATGCCTACCCCCCTCCCAGCCCCCGGGCATGATTCATGCAGGCATTAAAGGCCTCGCAGCAAAGCCCAAGGAAAGCCCCTGGGCAGATGCCTGGCATCCATGCGTTCCTAGTAAGATGCGCTCTGCTCTCTGCAGCATCTCTGCAGTCACCCTGAAGAATTTTTCTGCTCACACTCTAGGACACAATGTTGCCCTTTCCAGGTGTCTGATTGACTGGGACTCTACTCCCTCTTTTCCTTGTTCTTCTGAAATTCTCTGTACTCAGCCACCTTGCTGTGACTTCTGGTCCACCGTTAGGATCTACTAAGATGCCCTCTCCAGGAGTAAGAGGTACCACCCAGATGTGACCGGGGCTTATGGCGTAATGCTCACTACCTGGCCACATCGACATGGAGAGCCAGCAAGCACCAAGTATCACTAGTATTCTCACTAGCATCACAAACGCTTTGTTCACGTTTCAGAAGCTTCTCTGGTCCTCTCCATATCAGTGCCATCCACCAACTTACTCTGCCTTCCCAGCCCCTCTTCTGAGTCTATCATGTTCATGACATACAGTCAAAACTCCTCTCCGAAGTTTCTAGCTAGCTGCCAAATTCTAGTTATCTACAAACTTCTGCCCTTCTAAAGATTCCATCTACTTCAGAGCAGTCCACTTCTGATAATAACCACTTTGATATATATATATTTAAAAGCCAGATAAACTAAAATGTCTAGAGAAACAAACCCTGTGAGGGGGCAATACAAGTTAGGTAGTTCTCCTAGTAGTATTTTCTCCTGGTGACCTATCTGGGCTAAGCACAAGTGATAACAATAATATACAGAACTCCTTCCATCAATGGAGATAAGGTCTTGAACACACACCAGGGTATGAGCTTCAACACGTTCACACACATAACTGACGGGCACCTAGACACACATGTGGACACATACACACCACGCTGCTTGGCAGGAACGTACCAGGGTAGACCCAACAGCCTAGAACTAAGATGCCTATCACATCATGGGGTGGCAGATGGCCCAGGGACCATGCACAAGGACATGATTTTTTTTTTCATTCTTGTAGCATCTTGGAGAGCACATGTTGTTACCTGCTGTCTTTGGTAGGCAGAGAAAGTTCTTTCCAGGTCTTCAAGATCTAGAATTTTGAAGACTTTTGTATCATCAATTTCGGTCCATACTGTTCCTTCCAGTTTATTCTGCAAACAAGTTAATAAGTTCTAGAGTTTATAGTTATACACAAAAAGAACAGATGTGGTTATTTATTTATTTTTCTTCAAATGGCTGCTATCCCTAATTTTTCATTCTACCAGATGCTCAAAGTGGGCTGGCTTCAAACAACATGTCATTTATTTCAGTTTTATCACGTAAATATCTGAGCTAGTGAGAACCCAAGTCCATAATAGAAAATGAAATCATTTAACAGCCAGGGCTGTTTCCCTTTTCAGGGACAACATAGTGAGCTGCTAATGCTATCCATTAGAGGGAAAATTAGAACAAATGGCTTACCTCGGGCAGCTTAGACCAGTTGAAGGATTTCAGGGCATTTGTGGGCTGAGGAATGTTTTTCTTCTTGAGTGCCAGACCCAGTGGAGCACCAGGAGGTGGCATGATCCCCCCTAAGGGAGGTGGCCCTGGAGGAGGGGGAGGGCCGCCTGGAGGAAGGGGAGGGGGTGGAGGAGGAAGCATCCCACCTGGCAGGGGTGGAGGTGGTGGGGGCGGAAGGAGGGACCCCGGTACAGAGGAAGGAAAGGGCCCCCCTGGGGCTCCAGGTGAGGGTCCACCTGGGATTGAGGCACAGACAGCTCTCTGAAAAGGTAAAAAAAAAAAAAAGAAAAAAAAAGAGAAGAGAAGGTCAGTGGAAGAAGTAAATTCATCGGATGATTCTGACAGTCTGAAACTTTGCCTAAAATGTATGTTACAGAGAAATTCATATTTCTGAGAAAATGGGTTTAAAGGGGCAGTAAATCAAATGGACTTTAGGGTCCTCACGGACGACTGAGTCAGCTCTTTGTATTTTGGACCTCAGTGCTTATTTGTAAAGCATTCATTCATTCATGTATCTCTCACTTCTTGTAACATCATGGTTTGGTTTTCACAGAATCAGTTTTCATTTTAAGAAGTCAATGCGATTTTGCTTTGCTCTGATTAGAGGATCTGTATTAAAAACGCACACCCCCCACACCGCCTCTGCTGCCTAACCCACACAATAGCAGAGGGAGTGAGTCTTATAACCACTGTGATAAATCATAAGGATTTATTCCCCCAGGCAGAAGCTGTCTGCCTAAGGTGAGGGGCTCCAGGGTAAGTGAGACCTCGGCAGCTGCCCAGGAACGGAAGACCTGGCCCATGGAAGACCCGGCCTGCGGCCCCGGCCCTCACCCTGCTGAGCTCGTGGAGCTGTGCTGTGAGATCCACCACCTGCTGCTTGACTTGCTTATGCTCGCTAGTCTCCTTTTCAAGTTTCTCTTTCATTTTATTTAAGGTCTGCATCATCTCCTCCTTCTCTTGGGTCTTGGCATCACATTCGCGCTCCTTCTTTTCCAGTTTCTGCTGTAACTCATTGTGCTCTACACAAGAAAACAATGGGACATGAAAACGGGACTCTTCAAAGCTGAAGCGCTTTCTCTAAACAGAAAATTGGCTGAGGATGATTGTGAGGCTCTTTATTAGGTAAATATTATTCCTCTCCTCCATCAAAGGGAGTGACTTGCAGGCTCAGTGGTGTTCATGCTTGGAGGGGTCCTTAGATGAACAACGTTATTAGCTACATTTTGTAAAATATGGAAGAGACCCTAAAGTCACAGTTCTGAAGATGGACACTAGTGTGAGCACCTATTTGTGGAGGAGAATGGGGCTTGTTTGGTACTTACTTCAGGATCCTGTCATAAAAATGGCCCTTTAACCACTCTAGGGAAAACAAATACTAAAAGGGCCTCTTTTCACAAATTAGAAATGAGAACCAGAGAAGCCATTGTTTATTAGCTAGGTTGCTGGCTCGTGTCCAACGAGCACAGGGCTGAAGGGGAGGATCTTGCTCCGTGAGGAAAGGCTGATGCCAGACGACGTCTGTCCCAACACGGAGTCCCCTCTCCCATTCTCCTCTCAGAAGGCTACTTGGCCTTGAAGTATTTCATGCTTCTGATAAATAATTCTTAAAACTTGTGAAAGCAAATGTTATCATCTCAGCATTAAAAACCTTAAGGGCATGAGAATCACCATAATCTGGGGAGAAAAAAATATTAACTCTCTGCTGTAGTTTTACTGACTTCCCAATCCTGCTCTAATGGAACAAGGCCTCCAATTTAGCCAAATGCTTATTTACATTGCCAATATGTCTGCTGACTTCAAGCCCCTCACAGGAGTGAGGGGCTTTGGGAAGAGGACCGATGAATTTTAGGCTGCAGATTTTCATTTCAAATACTTGGCCCCAATTCCTACTCTTTTTATTTAGTAAACCCACTAGAGATATAATCCAATGGGACAGAGCTACACAGAATTGGTCTCTATTTCTGAATCTGATAACACATTGAAATTCTTGCTCTCTCCGTCTCTTACTTTGAGTCCCCCCAAACCAGTTAACAGAGAAGAGTTCAAGCCACTAAAAGCCTTGAGGTTAAAATAACCATCAGCCCACTTCTACCACTCTGCGAATGCATCCCCAACTGCTTCAGAGATGTGTCTAAAAATGACCTCACTGCACCCCATTTTCCTTCTTCTATCTCCATTTCATTTCTCTTCCACACTTGTAAGACTTGCCTCTTATCACTGGTCATGAAGCTTTGACAAATCCAGCTGTGCTTCAGAACCACCTGAGAGATTTTAACATTTTGGGAGTCTGTTCTATGGGTCGGGGGGATAGGGCTTAGGAATTTGTTTTCAAATGCCCCTTAGAGGATTCTGATGTAATACACGTCTGGTAAGCTGCTGCTGAAAGGATTCGCTCCACAATGGACATCCATTTATCTCCACCTTTCAGGTCCAGAGAACTTCCCATCTCCTCACAACCTCCACACACTGATTCATCAACGTGTGCCCTCTTTAATACAGCCTTGCTACTTGAAGCTTTCAGAAAAGAGTTCATTTTATCTACAGTGCCTCCTTCCTTACACTCCCCCCGTGACCTCACTGACCTTGGCCATTACCTCTTGTACATCTCAGAATCCTACCACAGCCCCTCTCACTTGCTGTGCAACCACATGTGCCAGGAACTATGTTGGAGTCTCTGTATTTGTTTTGTCATTTAATCTTTATAACAACCCTGTGAGTTGGGTGTCACGTGCATCTTACAGAGGAGAGTGGAGAAGAGGACATGACTGCCTACACACACACCCAGAGCCCAGCACAGTGCCTGACACATACAGGCATTCAATCATCCACTGAACAAATGACTGAACGACTCCAAAGCTTCTGTCCTAGGTACTCTCCTCAGCTTGCACCCCTGAGTCCCCATGCTCTACAGTGTACCCCTAAAGTACCACCCGACCATTTTCTCTTCATTATAATCTCTCTTTAGCCCAACCTTTTAGTCAGTGTTTTCTTTCTATAGCAGTTTCTGGAATCTATTAATGAAAATGTATGTGGCAACCTCACTTATGTGAGAGCAATCTGAATTCGTGTGAGGAAGCTGTAACAGAAGTGTACTTCACATGCGGTATTTTCTGCTCTCCGTGGTGGCCCTGCTTTTCTGCTCAATGGAAAAGGACAAATGTGAGGAGGGAAAAGGAAATGCTCTGGCATCTCTTGGACCCTCTTTTCAACACACTAAATATCGGGGTAAGTGCTATTGTATTTCACTGGCTGTGGCTAAATAACTTGGACAAGGAAAAGGAAGTCAGTTAACCAGCATAGTGAAAGAGCAGAGGCCAGGAATAGGACTGTTTTTACAAAAGGGCCAACTTTAGTTGCTAGTATTTTGAAGGAAGTGGGGCAACTTATGTCCATTCTCTGAGCTGGCACAGTGATGGGCACAAATGACCCTCCTGGCATTTGATGCTGAGTGTTAATACCCAAGACATATTCAAATACTCAGCAAGAGCTGGTCTATGAATGTCTCATAATGTATATATCGACAATGGTCAGTGATTTTCTACATGATTTTTCTGTTCATAACTGGTGCCAAATTAAGGTCACATGGTGAATGGGCCTCTGAAACCAAGTGGCCTGGGTTTCTCTTTTAAAATTCTGGGTCATCCCTGGTGTTATTACATTTCTTAAAACCTAGTGTGACTTGACGAACAGTTATGGGGCGGGGAGAGGGCTGGAAGGAGTAGTAGTTAAGAAAATTTGAATCAATGAATACCAAACAGCAAATGCTACAAGCTCTTCCAAAAAAATTTACATAACTATAATAAAAGGAAAAAATATTTGGCAGTCAGCAGGACAACTAAAATAGCTCGATTCAAGAGAAAACAGGGCAAAACTGCCCTTAAGACATAGAAAAGGAAAGACTTTTTGATGCACTAAAGTCAGTAAGAAGTATCAGCACAAATTTCTAAAATATACAGAGAGCAGAGTTGCCCAATAACCAGTAACATGGCCTCTTCTCTTGTCGGGGCCTCATTATTTACCTTTTCTCATCTTTTCCGCTTGTTCTTTCCACTGCTTAACTTCATTTTCATTAACCAACCTGTGTAATAGTTAAAAGAGTATTCATTACAAAAAAACATTAAAGGCCCACTGCCAAAATGCATGCTCTCTAGGTACAAAAATAGTCCACTGTACGGAAAACCCCCAGTGTGCTTGAAACCCATTTAAACCCGGATGTTACTCAGATATATTACATATGTATATATAGGAACGCATATTTGACGTCTAGAACATTTCAGTTCTCCCAGCTGCTATTTTAAAGTAGGATAAAATAATGTCTTACATGGTGACTATTATTTCACAGACCGCAAAATAAGAAACTTACATTCGTACGACATTCTTAATATTAAAGTTTTCCAAAGGTGTGGTGTCGGGGTCCTGTCCTTTGTCATTTTGAATAACTATCTGCTGTATAATTCTATCTAGTAGTAGCCAGTACTGAACGGTGTTGCCACTTCTCTTGTCTAAAAAAGAAAAGAATGGAGGAAAAATACTTCAAGTCGTTTCTAAACTAGGATGAATATTTTTCAATAGCGGTCACCTGCCAGAGCCACAGAACCAGAGATGTTTACAACATCTGCACCAGCACTTCCCAAAGTTTCTGGAATTCTGACATGCAGTGATCATTTATGTAACTAAGAGGCATTTTCTACCCCTTCTGAAATGTGTTGCAAGGCATATATTTATTTTTAAAATCAAAGTAGGTTATAATTCATCTCAGTTTTGTAATGTCACAATACCCCTTGAGCTGTGTGACACTTTGGACTGTCACAAAACCAAGGTTTGGAATCCCTGGTGTGCACCCAACCAAATCAGCACTGTTCAGAAGACAGAGCCCTTTGGATGACGTCCAAACATTCGAAAACACACATGGAAGTCACAAACACACTCACAAGGCATTTGGAGGCAGTGGTGCAGGATGGACATGAAGTGAGGGTAAGCTTCACTATGGGTCAGCCTCTTCCTGGTCAGCTCAAACATCTGAGTCGCACTTTTTGTGTCTATGTGAACCTATTCCATATGAAAAAGAAATCTAAGTCAAACACCCAATATCCTCAATACCTGCAATGCAAGGTAAGCAAATCCAAGGCAAACAGAGCTAATCCTGCCACTTAGGTAGCAGGTTATACCCAGTCCATGTCAACTCAACACACATTACAACAGGGAAATTCCTTGAGTTGATGAGTTAAATCAGAATAATTGTGAGCATACCTACCAGTTCAAATCTTTTGGCAAATTCTAGTTCATCTTCATTTCGGAGCATTTCAAAAAAATCTAAATGTCTGAAATCCAATAAAAGAGAAGCTATTAAAAGTAGAATACCCTACAAACACAAGCACATGGGAATCAGGACATTAATACTAAGACCTTTCCTGAATATTCAGATTTCTCTAAAAGAAATAAGACAACAAAATTTGAATGCCTTTGCTTAACTCTGTTTAAGGAAAAAGACATATTCTGACTGAAATGAGATCACAATAAGAGACAAATTTAAAAGCCTAGGATGCCTAGTACATAGCACACAATTAATAAATGTTTATCAAATCCAAAAACAGTCAAGTCCAGATTCTGCTCACAGACTCCCTTTATGGAAAAATGAGCCCACATACCTACACTTGCCTGATTGATGAATTAAGACCACAAAAGAAATATTCATGCCATTCACTTATTCATTTATTGAACCCCTACTATGTATTTTAGATACTGGGAATGGTAAGTTCTATGAAGACAAATACATCAGGGTAAAGGGAAAAGAGAATGATGGGAGGTGAGGTGAGTTGTGTACACACACTGGCTGGAAAAGGTCTCTCTGAAGGGAAGAAGGGAATAAACAATTTGGACATCTGTGGGAAGATCTTTTAATGCTGAGAAAATAGCAAGTGCAAAGGCCCTGAGGCAAAAGTATTTTGACATGTTCATAGACTAGCAAGGAGAAGAGAATGTCAGAGTGCATTAATGAGGGAGAGGAGCAGTAGAAGGAAAGATCTGAGAGCTAGTGGGATATCTTAGAAATAGTGAAATGATTGCAAACAAGAGCAAATGAACAAGAGAGTGAAAATTCACATTCACAGAATGCCTATCATGGTGCCAAGTGATTCCATGTTTTATAGTCAATCTTCATTAACAGCCCATAAAAGATAGTGGTCATCATTATCATCATTATTATCACTATTTCTTGGAGGGGGGAAAAAACAACCAGTAAGATTCAGAAAGATTGAGTACCTTGACCAGAATACATAGCAAGTTAAGAGGTAGGACAAGGATGTGGATTCAGTCTGATGCCACAATCCGCATTAAGTTCTCTGTACGATGTGCTGCTTCTTTCACCGACAAAGTTTTAATATAAAAGCACCATTTGTTGAACTAATATTCGGGGGCCAGCTCCTTATGTTACAGAAAGGTCACATGCAATTCACAGGCACTGCATACATGGAAAAAGCATGAATTATCTCAGATGATAACAGTCTGACTTACCTATCTAGTGTTGAATTTTCATGCTCCCTTAATTTATCTATTACAGGCTGAATTCCTAACATCAGAAATTCATAGCGAAGATGAAGTCTGAAGTCCAAACTTTCCTGAAAGTGAAAGGGTGATAAAACACATATTTATGCTTTTTGGACTATGTACATAGAAATCTTTTTTAAAAAGATTATTCTTTAATAATGCATGTTTTCAAGAGTAGTACAGAAGGCTCTTACCACTCCTGCACCTTGGCTTAGCACTGCATTGATGAAGGACATGATGGCAGTCTTGAGACTCACTTCATCTCGATATCGCCCTGTGCTTTTATCCAAGTCATTAATCAACGTCTATAAAAACAAAGGACTGAATCATCACTAATCTTACGTTCATTTTATTAATTTTAATACTCAGAAGTAAATTTTTTAAATCTTGTGTTTAGTCAGAATTACATTAATCCATAGAAAGCCACCTTTTATTTTTCCTAAAATTAGTTCAAAAAACTCTTACTTTCAAACTTCCTACATCACCCATGTTCATTTATACATGTATACAAAATACAAAAGACTGCGCTTTGTTGACTTGGCTTGCTTTTTATATTTGGGTATAAATACGGTTACATAATCTCACTGTTTATATTGATACTAAATCAAGAATGGTAACCTTAAGACTTTCAGGGAACACTGCATTTAGTGGATTCAAAAGATATGTGCTATATCATGTGTAGGAAGCAGGGTCTTATTTTCAAATTCAGTAAATCTAAAATCCCAGGTTGATCAACTATTGAAAGCATATTATACTCTGGTACTAAAACCCAAGAGGAAGGAAACACTTGAGTCATCACCACAGAGGGACATCTCAAGTTACGTTCCTCACTCAGGGCCAGGAAAGCACCTGTCAGAAGGGGTGAATGACAGAGCGTAGAGCGCCCATGCCCACCTGAAAGCGGGTTCTTTCACTGGCATACTTCTGGTAATGCAGCATGGCCTGCAGAACCTTCTTGTGGCCCCCAGGAACCAGGCACACGGCGCCCAAGATTTCCAGCACGGCCACCTTCGTTTTAATGTTCTCTGTGCTCAGACTCTGAGCAATCACATTAATACTCTCAGAGTGAGCCAGGACATGAGCCCGACCTTGAGAGTTGTTCATTAGCGCCTTTATACATCCAATGAGAGAGGTATGTATTCGAGACTCTGAGGTCTCGTAGTCCATGGTCTTTAGAAAGTTGAGAATACATGACAGGCCATCCAAGTCGATGAATCTGGTTACAAACCTGGCAGGAGAAGAAGGTTAAAATGGATCAGACTTAGGTCTCTTTGGAATTTTCTAATAGCCCTTAAAGGAAAAGTTTTGCAGGGCAGGAGAAAAGAAGATGTACTTCCTGTAGTACCAAAGACCTAGATGGATGAAGTCTTCTTAATTCCTGACCTCTTCCTCAGCACAAACCCAATGGTCAGGTCTACCAGAAATGTGAAGTAATCTCTATTTGACATAAACAGATCTCAACCGATACAAAAAAAACAATGAACAGATCATATAACTACAGTAAAATCAGGAACAAGACACTCAGAATATGTGTCTCAAGTTAAAGTCATCTGCTGATCCTGTGTTATTATAGCATCCAGCCCCTAAACACCTTTTGTTAACCATTGACCCAAATCAATGAAAGTCAAAGAGCATCCTTAAGCTCCAGGATATTTGTTTGTCAAACAAATGATAATCTATATTACTAACATTTTGTAGCAAAACTCTTCTTTTGTAGGACATGCTACTGGAATCCCTCTACGTAAAACAAATAAGGGGCACCTGGCTGGCTCAATCCATAGAGTACGCGACTCTTGATTTCAGTCTCGTGAGTTCAAGCCCCATGATGGGCCTGGAGCCTACTTAAAAAACTAAATAGGGGCGCCTGGGTGGCTTAGTCGGTTAAGCTTCTGCCTTCAGCTCGGGTCGTGATCCCAGGGCTCTGCGATCGAGCCACGCATCGGGCTCCCTGCTCAGCGGGGAGCCTGCTTCTCCCTCTCCCTCAGCCTGCCTGCCTGTCTGCCTACTTGTGATCTCTCTCTCTCTGTCAAAAAAAAAAAAAAACTAAATAAACTGCTAAAACAAAAGTAAGCCTTTGTTCATGTGAAGTTCTGAAAATTTCAGAAGTAACACAACTTGTTTATATGATTACTCCAGAAATTTCCAAACTTACTTAGTCTTGGATACCTATTAACATCTGAGAATGCAAACACACACAAATAGGGATACTGATATAGTTAAGATTGGCTACAAAATGTCTGTCATACAACTGCATAGAATTTTTGATAAATCAGTATATTTTTCTTAGTTAGCATTTTATAGTCAAATAAAGAAAAGGAAATCTTTATTTTCCAGCCATTTCATGCAGTCACACAATGCAGATATGGCCCAGCTGGTTAAATCAACTGGCTTCATTCATAGCCCCTACGTTAATGAAATGTACCTATAAGCATCCCAATATCTCACCAAACCTTAAAGACTAATTAATGGAAAATGAAGGTGTGGGAGATACACAGTGGAGGCTGACTGCCCAACTCTTTTAAGCAACAGTTTTATTGAGATGTAACTCACATGCCATAAAATTCATACTTTCGAACGTACAATTCAGTGATATTCACAGAGCTGTGCAATCACTGACATCATCTGATTTCAGAACACTCTAGTCTTCCCCAAAAGACCATTTCCCCCCCCTCCCCAACCCTAAGCAACCACTAATCTTTCTGTCTGTATGGATTGGTCTTTTCTGGACATTTCATATAAATGGAATCATGCAATATGTTGTCTTTTTTCATCTGGCTTCTTTTACTTTGCATAAATATTTTCAAGGCTCATCCATGTTCTAGCATGTTATCAATAGTCTATTCCTTTCTAGGACTGAATAATAATTCATTGTATGGATATATCACATTCTATTTATCCATTCATCAACTGATAGAATTTGGGTTGTTTCTATTTTTTGGTGATTATGAATACTGTTAACATGAACATTCCTGTTCCCTTGGCTATATATCAAGGAATAGAATTGTCAGGTGATAGGACAACACTATGTTTAACATTCTGAGGAACTGTCCAACTGTTTTCCGAAGTGGCTGCACCATTTTACTTTCCCACCAGCAAAGTACAAAGGTTGCAATTTCTCCACATCTGCACAAACACTTGCTAGTCTGTCTTTTTAAATTTTAGCCATCTTAACAGCTATCTGCATATCTTTAATTGAAGAAAATCAATTTATTGAATGTTCAATGATTAAATTATTTCACCCATGATCCAACGGAATGCTTTGAAGATTTCCTTGAAAGTTTGGCTATTGCAGAAAAAAGAATAAAGTAGGGTAGGAAAGAAGGGAGAAAGAAAGGACAGAAGAAGAAAAAAGAAAAAAAGAGAGAGAGAGAGAAAAGTAATACACGCTACCCAGGAAAGAATTACCTCATTGGTTTTGTCCTTAGTGCTGTCTTCAAACTCTCTATAGTTTTACTTCTCTCTTCTTCCTCTTCCTTCTCTAAAGCCAGGAGAGATTTTCTCTATGCAAAGAAAACTGAGGTTACCTCTTCAAATTCTATGATTTAATTAGGGTACAAGCAAGACAAGTCCACAGATTACATGCTATTATCACTTTTAATACAAATAAATAATCAGTAAATCTATGACTAGGATTGCTATAAAACCAAAATATAGAGCAAAAGTACTAAGAATTCCAGATTTGTTATCTCTACTGAAAGTTCTTTCAAAATTTAGATAAAGCTTTAAGAAATGTTTAGAAATCTTCAGTAGAGATTAACTTGCCCAAGTATAGTTGTAGAACTACTCTATAACTACACTCTGATGAAGACATTACTATTTATATTTGATAGAAAGAGGGTTGGATCTGCAGTTAAATACAGCATTCTGGCAACTGAAGTTAATAACATTATCACAATATCAAACCAAGGCAGTTTGTGTAATCCTCAAGCCGAAAAGTAGAATCTTTTACACTTTGTGTTACATCAAATTATTTAACAGGAACAATCAAATCGGACATGATACTAAGATGGACAATTCTTTCAGAGTAAATACTTAGCATCAGTTGGAAATTAGGCTGTGGAGTGTGTGTGTGTGTGTGTGAGGGAGGGGGTGGGGTACTTACACCCTCCCTACCGGGGATCTTTGAGCAATGCTTCCCAAACTTTAATGTGGACATGGATCTCCTGGGGCTCTTGTTAAAATGAGGATTCTGATTTGGTGTGTCTGGAGGGAAGCCCAAGATGCTGCATTTCTGACTAGTTTCCATGCAGTGCTGATGTTACAAGGTCTATGGGCCACACTCTAAAGAACAAGGCTCTAAGGAAACAGATCTCAGTTGACATTACAGTCATGGATGCTAGTAAAGTTTATCTTTGTGAAAAAGTATTTTCCATTCCTTTAAGCCCATGATCAACTGGTTGTACTAAAAGTATCTTCAAGTCTTAATGGCCTCAGGGGCCTCCACTCACAGAACCACTGGTCCCTTGCCATCATCCTATTCTGAACACACGCTATTCTTTTTTTTTTTTTTTAAGATCTCAGTTTCCTTACCTGCTACCAATTCTGATAAAATGCATGGCTGGGAAATAGGCTGGGGCACTGGGGGAAAAAAAAAAGTTTGGTTCTTATCCCTGTGTCTCAATGACCCAGTCTCTTCCCTTTCTTTCAGGACCGCAGATCATCAAGGGGTGACTTTACTTCATTTTTTCAAGTTAATAGTATCAGTAGTAAGTAACTAAATGTTAACTAAAACCTAAATTTGACTTCACAATTAGGAGGGTTAAAGCTCCAAACAAAGAAATATATCAGTATCATTTAAGGCAACGGAAAAAAAAGTCAGTAAAGTCTTGTTTTTCAAACGTGTTATTGTTTCCGTTGACACTGTCCTCTTGCTGGTGATGCGCCTGGACAGCTGTGACCAGAGGACGACAGGGGAAGAAGCTGTGTGCAGAAATAGCCAATAAATATCTTCACGGTTCTGTGAGACCCATTCCCTGGAAAATTCAGCCCGAATCCAGCCAAGTATGTTTAATCTCCTATGGCACAGCTGAACTCGTTTTAGACTCTGAAGCAATCACTTTGAATCTGCAGCTCAGAATCAAGCTGTTTACGAACATCACTGCTTGTCCCTAAGCTTAATCACACAAAACTATACCCAAATTAAAGACACGCATTTCTTATTATGGCTCACTAATACCAAAGAAAGATGTACGTATTCTTTTAACAACGTTGGAGAGTGTGGAACATCTGGATAAAGACAGACTACATTAAGTCTCTCGCTGGTAGAGCTGGGAGATTTATAAAAAGTCAAGGAAATGGAATTAGAATTTCCTTTCCCAGTGTAAGGACCATTACCTTCCTTTCAAAACAGAGGCAATGCACTCTTTTCTGTATGTGATAAAATTAGATTTGAGTCAGACTGTGTTCGTTATACTGAGAAAACTGAGGATATGCAGATGAACTATTCTATATCTATAGAATATCTATGACATTCTAATGTGACTTTTCAAAATAAAATGAATTATATGAAGTCTAAAGTTTTCAAGCTTCACATTTAGGAAGAAGGCTTGATTTGCAGCTTTTCACAGAAAGAGGAGACATGCCTACCTTTCTAAACATAGCTGCCAGGCCAACCATCTAGTATGCACCTTGGCATACTGAGGTGAGGCTTGTGGCGGCCTCCTCGGGAGCTCTATGTACTTACTAGATGCCCGCTCACCTGAGAAGTGGGCAAAGGACAAAGTGCCTCCTGGCAGAGGATCTTCTGATAAAAGCTACTAAGGTGTACACTGGAACATGCAGGTCTGAGAGAGAGATACAAAGTAGGCACAGACATCATTCCTGCCCGGGAGTCTGAGCTAAGCTCCTGTTGGAAACCTTTCACTGGTGTGAAATCAACAAGCCAGTCGGCTAAGCACGCTGAACTTCACCCCACATCCTTCCTCCCGGAGAGCGCACGGTGAAGCCACACCCAAAGGAAGCCCAGGGCCTTCTCCAACCTGTTGCGCTGTACTTTTATTATACTGTTTTTCACTCTTTAAAAGCCAACAGATCACTCCGGGGTCCTTTAAAGAACAAAGCATTCTTGTTAAGAAGCTTACGTAAAGTAACTGAACTTGTTCCACAAATGGCTTCGTAGACCAGGAAGTGCTGCCGTTCTCAACCTGGACTGTTCATCAGACTCTGGAAGCCCTGAAGAAAACATGCCTGCCCCACCTCAGGAAAGTCAGGAGGTTGGGGGGCGGGGGGCGGTTACCAGGCCTCTCTGACTTGCCAAAGGGTTTTAAAAACTGAGTGAGAGGCAAATTAGAATGGAATCTTTGAGCTCAGACTGATAGGTTTAAATTCCAGCTCTACTGTTCCTAATTAGATGACCTTGGGCAAGGTAACCTTTCTCCAAGTCCCAGACTCCTTATCTATAAATAGCACTTCGAGCATGGAAGTAAGGATTTAAAACAACACGTAAAGTGCCTATTATACTGCCTGTCACATGCTGCACGCTCAAGAGCAGTAGTCGCTAGTGATGCTGAAGACAAAGGATGATAACAATGTGGATAAATCCCCTTGAACAAATCCCTAAGCTAGAGAGCTCAAGTTGAGCTGCCGGGCCATGAAACGATTTGGAGGAACTGTATGTCTTTCCAGTCCCCAGGGACAATGTCTCAGGCTCTCTGCTGTGTGTCGTTGGGAATTCTCCACTACAGTTAGCAGAGAGACCAGCCAGAACCACAGGAGGAGGTGGTGGCAACAAATTTGGTGAGAAAAATAGAAAATTCAGCATAGGGTTTTGGTCTCATCAGACCTCCTTGTTTGTTATATATGCAGGAGTTCTGTGTCTCATTAACTCAGGAGTTGTTACTGCATTTTACCTTTAACCCTAGAAAGACACCAGCTCTGTCCTTAAAGGAGCATTAGAAAGCTGTTAGGTGTTAAGCACATAAAGAATAGCAAAATGACTGACAATTTAATTGCCTTGAGATTACTCTTGGAAAGGATTTCGGATTAGGAAGCAAATACAATTAAAATGTAGATGACTCATGAATGCAGCATGGGGTTGTCCAAGGAGCTGGCCAAAGGAGAAAGGAGGCTCAAAGCACACATCACAGACCTTCTTGTGCAGGAAATGAGCCAGGTTGACTCCATACATACAAGGCATGGGTTAAGTCACTAAAGGACAAATTAACCTAATTGCCACCAAAATTTGAAGAAAAGAAAATGCCATAGTATTTAGCATTTCTCCATTTATAGAAGTGAATTCATTAACAAAGAAGCAACTTCCCTTGTTACATCAAACAATGCCGACTTAATCATAAAGAGAGACAGCCTGCCCCACAGCTCCTTTTTTTCCCTAACAGCCAGGAACAAGAATTTAGAACTTAACCTCCACACACAGGAAATGTAAATGGCTCTAACTTACTATTGCTTAGGCTGTGCATACAAAAATCCCTGATGGTCGTCACAAGCCCCACACTTTGCTAACTATTTATACAACTGCTGAGATCACCTTTTTCTCATCTTCGCCATTGTGTAGGATGCCTTATATAAGGATGTTGGATGTTATTTTCTGCAGTGCTTTTAGATTAGAAATCCTCGGGGCAAAAGCTTATGCAGTTTCTTCTATAATTTATACAGCCCCATTCACATTTACTAGGCTGTTTATTATTCATCGTGCAACAGCAGAAGAAATATCTTCAAAGAAAAAGCTAGAGAAGAGGAAGTTACTAGAAGCCAAGGTCTCTGAAAGTTAGTAAAAAAGTGTGAGTGATTCACATATTCTAATCAGTTTTTAACTTTTGCAGCAGCAACAAAATATTAGATAATTTTTTTTTTAAATGTCTGCCTTAAGTGTTAAGTAGCTAATTCTCCAAAAAGACCCTGGGGAAGGAAAAGGAAGAGGTAGAGAAAAGTATTTATTATGGAAGCTACCATCGTGCTCGGATATTATAAACTCAAAGTTGAATCTAACAGAGTGATCTTAAAATCATGAGTGTACCCACAGAGGAAAAGACTGTTGCACCATGGGCAATCACCAGTTTTTATCAACATGAATAGGATCTGATTTACTAAGGCTCAAAGGTTGATGACTTGTTTTCTGCTGCGTATTTTAGCTGGGATCAATAGGTGCCCTTTAAGGTGCTCAGAATGCTGACATTACACAGACATCCATGTGATCAGAAGGCGTATTTTAGGCACTGAAAATGCATTTTAAGCAATTACTTAACCAAAGATTTCCCAAGGACATCTCAGCGTAATTATTATGTCTTTTATTCACCACTTATTCCATAAACTCCCTTTGTTATTTACAGGAGTGAAAGAGTACCTGGCTGCCCTGTAAAATCAAGAATCCAGTAACGCTTATAAGCAAGTCCGAGTGAAGAGGAGAATGGGAGGAGAACAGTGAAGGAATAGTTTCATTGTATTATTTTAAAATGGTATTAACTTGTAGAATAGTACTGCTATAACAACGCTCCAAATGACTGGTAAGAGCAACTGCAAGTTAAACATAAGTTTCAACTGCAAGTTGAACATAAGCCAGATTTAGATTACATTTCCTCTTATAACATTAAACTCACATATATTTTAGTATGTGCTGATTTTATGTAAAACATACTGGAAAAAATCATTTTGCCAAGTACCACTGCTGCCCTCCTTCCCCTGCCCCTCCCCACCAACACTGAGTGTTTGGAATGGAGTTTGGAAAGATAATGACATTTGGTAGTTCTTACTCAAGTGAATTTATTGTGCAATTGTGTGCTAAATTTGCATTTTAAACTGTGTGCCGCTGAGCAGAAAGTATACCTACAGCAGCCATGGAATTGAGCTGATCGATGTAGAATTCAGGCCAACTTGTTGCTCCCTTGTTTTCTTCCTGATCCTAAACAGAAAGCAAAAAAAAAAAAAAAAAAGTAATATACCACCAGATATATACACACAATGGCCATAAGCACATCTGACTTTCAGAGCATCTAGACAATGACCTATATAAGCCATTAGAAGACAATGATAGAAGATATTTGTCTTCAAATGTTGGCTCTGATCATAAGACTGTTCACTCACCTAGGGACAAGACAGAGCTACAGTCAGAGTTAGGTATGAGTTAGGTACAACAAAGGGACATTTTTTGAACCATGGATCAAGGGGAATTTATTATTTTATCACTTTTTTAATTTATATTTTTAAAAAATTGAAGAACAATGGACATAAAGTATTGTATTAGTTTCAGGGGTACAACATGGTGATGCGACATTTATATATGATACAAAATGGCAACCATAATAAATCTAGTTACCATCTGTCACCATAAAATGTTGCTACAGTAGGAACACCTGGGTGGCTCAGTTGGTTAAGTGTCCAACTCTTGATTTCAGCTCAGGTGGTGAGATCAAGCCCCAAGTCGGGCTCTGCCCTGGGCATGGAGCCTACTTAAGATTCTCCCTCCCCTCCGCCCCTCCACCCCCACCCCCGCTTGCCCACCCACTCGCTCACTCTCTTAAAAAAAAAAGTTTTTACAGTATTATTGACTATAAAGGGGAATTTAAATGGGAACTTAGCCACACTATGATACGACATTGTTTTCCTTCAGGGGCACAATAACATTGGGAAAGGTACAGTGTTTGTTGTGAGGACAAAGGATCTCTAGGTCCTATGAGGCACTGAGGACAGCATTGCTCAACTATTCGTCTGGATGAAATCCACAAAAGAAGGAAAATTGTCTTTAAAAATGACCACAGGATTTGGCCAGTTGTTAGACTATTTTAGTTAGTTTATTCAGACTCCAGAAAAAAAGTAAAAATTTTGAAGGGTTTCATTTGATGTAACCAAAACTAGGTACTGCTTCAGATGAAAAGGTAGAATAAAGCCTGACACTGGATGGAAAGTAGTAAAATGAACACACATTACCCACAGGCCCAGCCCTCGCGCTGTGACAGCTTTTGAGTTTGAGAAATGCATCTGAGCTGACGGGAACTGGAACCCAGGAATTCAGGAACCGCTCTGGCCAGTCTTTCGTCTTATAAAACAGGGTGACCTGAAGCCAGCACCAGGGCCCTCAGGGCTTCTGTGGATAGTAGCCCCCAGCCAGAGCCCTCCCTTCCCCACCAAATCAGGGGGCTGTGGCTTCTGCCCTTCACGCCAACACCGAGTCCATCCGAAGATGGCACTGTAGTTGGAGTTTTCCAAGCATGTTTGCACACCTAAGTGGCTAGAAGTCATTTGTGTGATCAACTAGACTCGAAGAGGAAAATTTCAGCATTCCCTAGCTTCACGTTCAGAGAGCACCTTAGTACAAGTGACATCCCCTGTGCCCTTGGAAAAGATGCTGGGCCAGGTACACGTAGCTGCTATGAGAAAATGAAGCAGTTACTACCGATTTACTGATGCCAGAATCCCAATCTTTGGGATAGCAGTTTCAAGGCGGGGCTTTTAATTTCAGCCCTATACTTGACCTCAAAAACACTTTTTCTAAGCAAATCTTTCTAGGTGCATCTACTGTGGCGAGATAAAAGAAACGTAATTTCAAAACTATTCGTTAAGTAGTCACAAAAAGCAGGCAAAGTAAGTAGTGCTTACGGTGCCTTAAAAGCTGGCAGTAACAGATACCTGAACTTGAGCAGTTGCGTGAATTTCATCTGGAGACTGAACAGATCATGGGGACAACGGCTATAGCAGCAGCTTTGAAGCTGGACTGCGTTACACTCGCATGGTTTTAAAAAGCTTAGGAAATCTGATGAGTTTTTAGAACAGTCCTCGGTTATTATTTAACCTGTTAATAAAGTAGCTACAATGGCAGTGTAAATGCTGAACCCTTCTCTCCTCCTAAAATGGAGTATTAAAGTTAGCAAAACCCTGCTGTTACCAATGTATTCAGCAAGCCAAAACCCACAGCGACAGCCAACGGTATTTGAACCTATAAAATCAAATAGAAGGTGCCAGATCTTCCTAGTCCCTCAAACTAGGGCAAGTTTCCAAAACTACAACAAAATCCTGTCCCATGTCTGGGGTCCCCTGAGAGCCTGTCTGTTGTCATGGTTAACAGAACAGGAGATCATTTTAGAAGCTGAAGATTAGTATACAGAGAGAAATCTTTACACTTTGGAAATACTTTAGTAATGTAAACATATTAAGAGTAGACCTAGATACTGTAGTCAAAACAGGGGAAAGAAAACTTCATTTTTATTTCACATGCTCAGTGCTGAGAATATCAAATGAGCTAATGTATGTAAAAGCTTCTTGTAAAAGTACTGTTATCACTATATTCCTGGGGGTGATCCCCAGAGTTCTTCATCTTGGCAATGTGTCTCCAGTTTCCTCTGTGCAATTCTGGTCCTTCTATACAGATGTGCACTCCAGTAGCCAAGTGAAACACATCTGTGCATCAATTCTCTGCTCCTACTTTGTGCGGCTGCTAGAGTCTATAGTTATGCAGAGCCACAGGCCAGAAATAGATGAATGCAATTGTTCTCGGGGCGGGGTGGGGGGGTTCCCTTCAAGAGCACTGGACATCGAGACATGCTGAGGAGAAGACTCTCTCCTAAGAAGTCCATCAAAGAAACTGCTAATGAGAGTCTAGGCATCTGATATTCCTGGAAAGCAACTGGGTCCTATGTGTTACCAGCCTCTAATGTGTTATTCTTTGAGCCATCTGCCTCCCCTCTATTTTCTTTGTTATGAAGAAACAAGTGGAAAAATAAACAAGATTGTATAGACTGCATAGTTGTAATGGAAGCAACAGTAATATCTAACACATTCAGAGCTTATGAACAAACATTAAAAAAATTATTCTAAGCACTGTGTTCTTCATGTAATCTACCAGATGAGGTAGCCACTGTTATTTCACTCATTTTAGTGAGGAGGAAACAGAGGCAAAGAGAAGACCGGTGAGTTGCCAAAGGTCATCCTGCTAGAAATTCAGAGGCAGTGGGAAAGAATCAGGGCAACCTCTATCCTAAGATTAGACCTCAGATTAATCACAAGCAATATACAGTAAGTGCAAAGCTGGCCTTTCACTCTTAACCACTTTACTGTACGAGAAACTCAAACATGGGGGCGCCTGGGCGGCTCGGTCGTTAAGCGCCTGCCTTCGGCTCAGGTCATGATCCCGGGGTCCTGGGATCGAGCCCTGCGTCAGGCTCCCTGCTCGGCGGGAAGCCTGCTTCTCCCTCTCCCACTCCCCCTGCTTGTGTTCCCTCTCTCGCTGTGTCTCTCTCTGTCCAATAAATAAATAAAATCTTTAAAAAAAAAAAAAGAAAGAAAGAAACTCAAACATGGCTAGTGGCCAAAAATGAATTTACTTTTCCTTAAACCTTTACTGCTATCTTTGCTACATTCAACATTTCTGAATATTATCCTAATTCTGAATATTGTTCTAAGGTCTGATGTCTTACAGGGACGACCTCTGATCCCCTCTTCTCCAGACATTTTCTGTGGGACCTCTTCTGCCCCTCTATCAATGCCTTATCTATCTATATATGTGTGTGCATACAGACAGCATTTATGAAGCTCTTCCCTAACCTGTTCTCCTGTTCTGTTACACACCAGTCTAATAGCCATCTTCGTGGGGATTTCTCAAGAGCGCTTAAAGATGAGCTAATAGCACTAAGCAGTTCCAGACACTGGAATTGAAAACAAATCCCTCCCTAAACCATACACATCTAACCCTGCTTTTGACTACTGCCTTGACTGATGCTATTAGAACTTTTCTCTAGTAAGCAAGAATATTAGCTTCGTTCTTTCTTTAAAAAAGCTATTTTTCCTTCTTTTAAAACAGATTGTAACACTAAATGACACCTAGAGAAGGTTTTGCCCTATGAGAATACAAATTCTAGCAATCACATGAAATTCTTTTTCATTCTACCTATAGAATGGTTAATTCGTATTAAAACCTAGTTTTGATCCCTTTTAAAAGTGTTACATTTATGTTTATATGCCTATCTTTAGGTCTATTAAATAATTAGCACTGAACTGATATAAACATTTTATGTTGTTAAATCTTCTGATTACTGTTTTTAGATAATATTTGCAAATATCACTTATTTTCAGAGCGATGGGATGGTGGAAAGATGACCAGATTGTCCATCTGAAGATGAGATTCCAGAATTTACTTTTGGTTTACTCAGTTGGCATTTCTTGGTAAGTTTGAGTATCCCTGGGCCTCATTTTTCTCTCTCCAAATTGAGAGGGTAAGACCAGACTGTTTCTAAAGTCCCTATATAAGCTCTAAGATTCTACAGAACTCTAATAGTGAGGTGTCATGGAAAACCAGTGTGCACTGTCCTTAGTTTGAGGACCCAATTTCTAAAACCAATGATTGTTTTTTTTTTTTTAATTTATGTTCTTCAGTGACTCAATTACAAAATACTTAACTTTAAATAGCTACTTCTTTTATAATAGGGTAATTGGACAGGGAAAAAAACCCCAACATTAATTTTCCTATTTCTGTAATGCAACTCATCTTATTTCCTTGGTAGGTTGATAGTCATGGGTAAGAGAATATTGGTAGACAAACCTTCCTGCTGGATGAAGGCTCTGACACTTCACTTTGCTTTCAGCCTGCACTAACTAGTTTGAAGCTCTTTTCTTGTTATCTACCTTGTTCCCACTGTCTCAAATTCTGAAGAAACAAAACAAAAACCTCTTTGCTAGAAAAGGAAACTGGTATAGCACAAGGGACCTTCAAGAACATTTACTTTTTTTTTTTCTTTAAATCAGGCTTTAATTAACCAACTCATTTAGAAGATAAAGAAATACATAGTTTTTCTAACTTGGCCTCATTTTCAACTGGCACATTCTTTCATTCCAAATCTCTGGTCAGTGGCTAGTGAAAAAAATTCCAAGAGATCCTCTCTGATTCTCTGTAAATGCATAAGAGCGCATTTA